CTACGTCGCAACTGACGCAAGTTTTCAAAATCCAGTCGAGCCTTCTGTATCCGTTTGCAGATTTCGTAAGATACCAGACCATCAGTACTGGTAAGACTCGCAAGATTAGTGAACCGATCGACGTGCTCAACTAATTCACTCCCTGTCGATATTTCAGGTGCCAAGGCAAGCCTCCTGAAGGAAAATTGTACATCTACAGAGGGAAAGTTGCGTACCGAAACTGTTTGCATTGTTGTTTAGGGTAGTCAGAAACTCTGCATCTTGTTAGCGTCTTCAGCAAACAGAAGTATGTCGTCTGCATATTCGAAGTGAGCCAGTGAATATCCTAGTACAATGTCAGCTCCTGAGAAGTCAGACGACAAAAGCGTTAACTCTAAGAACATGTCAGTGACAAAATTAATTGAGGATGGAGAAAGTGGAAAACTCTGATGAACACCGCCCGATACAATCAATTTCGAAGACAGTTCATCATAAGTCCTAACTTGAACAGTAATGTTCGAGTTGATATCAGATGTTTTAAAGAGCGTGACGTGGATATGGATTATCTAAAGTTGTGTAGATTATTAGTTATCTATTGAATCATTATTATGTGTGTAGTATCGTTTAATAATGATGACATTAACATTTACTATCAGAAGTTAATTGGATTCTGTAAGGCATTCACTACAAAATTTGATGAAGACTCGTGATTCCACAAATTCCCTCATCTGCTCAAATTGAATTCAGTTTTATTTCTAAAATAACAAGTAGCGTTTATTAAAATGACTTACCAGTACACTTATTCAAATTCTGATAACTTTTATTCCGTTCACTGAAATATTTAAGTTTCGACAAATGAAATTAGTTGGTAGGTTTGAAAACCTATCACAAAATCTATGATTGACTTAAAGTACTAGTTCACGTTTGTACCGAGAAAGATCGAAAAATTCACTGCTAAAAATATCTTGTCTTTTAAGTTTAGAATGTGTAAAGCTTAAAAAGATTTCTAATCGTTACAGACTTTTTTTTCAAATAAATGAATGATTTGATGTGCACATTAGTTAAATTGTAATGTTAGTGGTTCTTATATATTTTTGTCCTTCTAATTGTCACTTGATATAAATTCTATATTATTAATTGATTTTTATGTGAACTATTTTGGATTTCGAAAATATAAAAAGAAAATTTTTTCTTCTTTCTGAATGTTTTTAAATCTTCACACAAGTTAATAACTATCTGGATGAGATAGATGTTTTGAGAGGAAATCATTGTACTTGAATAATGGCGTTAGCATTAACATTGGCATACAGACGAGACGCCCATCTTGTATTCCACTATCAGGCTCTCACCATTTTCGCTAAAAATTATTTCATAATAGTTCAAAAAGGTTAACGTATGTATGACAAAAGCTTAAACTAGCGCAGTTTAACATATTCAAGTTCATAGATCATAAAAGCTCATTTTATCTCTTAATTTGTGTTGTAAAAGTAAAATATGTTAAAAATTACTCTTCATTACAGTAATTGTTACGATTAAAGAAATAGAAACCACGAATTTCTGTCATGAAGCTCTATTTCTGTTAGATTCATTATCCATTTTGAATAAATAATGGATCAATTTTGTGCACTTAGATTTTCTGCAAACCAGTTAATCATCTACTGCACTTTATGTATATGGTACTTTTATGAATGACTACATCAATCTGACAACTGAATATTTAATCAACTAAAAATCAAATAAATTATTAGAAAATAATCTCGTAATTGGTATAAATGTTTCTTAGAACAAAACAATTAACAAATTGGATATAAATTGTCTATCAATTCAATACAACCAAAAAGATATGGTAAACATTCGAAAAAGTTCCTTTGTATTCATACAAATAATCTTTCATTTTATCATTTTTCACTATTTTAATTATGTTAAGCAAGTTTATTTATTAAAGGAATTTAGCAGTAGGCAATTTTTTTTTTTATTTTGCACTTGACAATTAGCTATGAATAGTTTTAAATCACGCATGAAATCCAGTCTGAAACTAGTCTTAGATATGACATGTTTTACTAATCAATATTTTTAGTGAAATCAACAGATACATGAAATTATTTGTGCTAAATCTTTTGCATTAAATGGTTTATAACAAAAGTTTTGTAGTAAAAAAAAACCTATTAGTATGTAATAATAGTCAGAATAAATACTTCGTTGAACTAATTTCAATACCATACTCGTTTCTTGTAAACTTCGAAATAAGATGTATTGATATGACATATTTGTCCTAAACATCTTTTTTATGAGAAGTTTACTTTTGTTTACTTGACTTACAATTTCAGTTAATTAGAAGAAGGATAGTGATAAAATATTGTATTAGACTTGGGCTGTTCGATTTTAGTTGTTTAGTTTGTTTTTGTAATTTCAATAAATATTTATAAAATGTTTGTTTTATGGTATTTTTGTGCATTCCAAATTGTAATCTCTCTTTCAGTCGTTAATTATTTATGTATCTTTCCGTAGTTCTAAGTTAGTTAATCATAAATATGTTACGCAGTTTTACATCCATGCATCTTAGTTGTGTATTTATTAAGATTTATTACTTGTTGTGTATCATACTGTTTTCTTTTATTTGTATAATCAAGAAGTTCATGTAATGGCTTGTTTTGCACGCAGCTGTTCTGATGTTTTGGTCAGCAAAATGAGATTTCTTAAAGTATCAATCATATGAAAACACAATAACGAAAATGAAGAAATAATTATTGCTGGTGTATTAGATATAACAAAAGTGTTTTTCTTCAAAGAAGGATGATAGCCATGTTCAACGTTAGTTAATTTTAACCTGCAACACACCTAAATGTTGCTGAGTTCTTAAATATCCCTCAGAACATTCTCTGGATGCCACGGAATTTCAGCAAATCTTTTACCTAACCACAATTGAGTAGAAACCTCACAGAAATTTCAAAGATATGTGTCAAAATTTTTACCGGATACTTAGCCGTATCACCACTATACTAAGTATGGTGCCCAAAATTTATAGAAATTAATGGTCATCAGCAACCCCCCCCCCGTTTTTCTGTAAATAAACCAAGCTTCGAGCGAAGCGTTCTTTATTGAACTGCTCGGTTTCTCTCATGTGTTCAGGTTTCTGTCTAGATTTAGTCCGAGGTTATTCCGAGCAGCTAGGAAATCAGATATTCAGTTCACTTAGCAGATTTATCACTAGGTCGCAACCTATGTAGCTGAATTTTTTCAGAAAATTCTATTTAAATATGTTATAATGCTATAATTTGTCTACATATTTGTGAATAAGATTTCTGTATTTAATCAAACTCATCGGCTATACGACCAGACTACTTGGATGAGGGGAACTACAAATATATTTCCGCATTGTTCACTGTTTCACTAGCGAACGAAAGCAGAAAATCTACTCCAGAATATATTTACTACTGATGACTATACATAAGTAGCGTGTCTGTAATAAATTATTTAATAAAATGAAGATGTTTCAGTGAGTCTCTTACATCTCGTTTTTATATGCTACCTCATTCTTACTACCCTTAAACTATCATGTGACCTTAAATTCTGAGTGGTTTATAGTACCACAAACAGTATCTATTTCTATTAGAGATCATTATATCGAAGAAATAACGACAAACACAATTATACGGCTTTAGTAAATGATTTGGTTGATAAGAAAATTTTCTTCACTAAAATATCTCTGTTCACTGAGTTTCTTATGTCGTGGCAAATCATTTTAACCATTCATCAATAGACAGTCAATTAGTACAAATAGTGGCATTGGATAAACTATGCAAGTTAATAGGATCAACAAAAAATTCGAAACTTATAGTTTTAGCCTTTAGTAATGAATGCTCATTTAATATTCATGATTTGATGTAATTACTTTATATTTTGTATTCATCAGGTTAGCCTTTACGATTACAAATATTTGTAAAGTTTTCTCAGATAGCAAAATCATTTAGTAATTGATAAGTAGTCTATGGACATGGTAGCAGTTTAGTAGTTCAGAAAGTTTCTTTGATAGAATGAAATGCTTATTTCTTTTACAATACGGGATTAGAAACCATATCACTTTGATTTGACTCATATATTGCAGTTCAATTAAAATTTTCGTTTCAGTGGTCAGTGATGATCTTTACTTTATTTTGTATCATTTTATCAGGTGTAGAGAAAGAAGTGACCAACAATATTTTACAATAAATTCTATACACTTATTGGTTCAATCCCTTTTTGAATTATCTGTAAGGAAACGCCTAGGCTATCCAATCAAGTTTTTAACGCCGAATTTAATTGAAGGTCTTAACTTGTGATCTGTTCAAATATGAATACTAAAGACTAATCGATTACAACAATTAAGCTATTATGTACTGCCTAACAAATATCAGTCACAATTGTTCTCATTCACATGTTTCGATTTAATTAGTTCTATTTGAAGCTGACATTTAACCTTTCTGATTTTGTCTTTTTAATATAAATCAGTACAAATATATGGAATTTTTACTGAATATATGTACATGTGTTCACATATTTAAATCAGTGCACATGTCTGTGTTGTGTTAGCGATCAAAACAAACTCCTTGAAGTAATTGATAAAGTATGATACATATTTGTATGTTGACTAGTCTAAATGTTCTTACAAACCCACATATTTAACTAATAAACCCCTTTAACCTGCATAATTTATCATATTGAGAAACTTGATTTGTTCTTATATTCAATCGATTAAATTAACACTGAAATTTTTAAAATGACCCTTAAAATATGACACTACAGTTGTTAACTAAGTTAGCCAGTGTTTGTGCACTTATGTATTTTTGTGCATATTGTTAGACTGATCGACATTCACTGGTTATTTGTAATGATATTTTACGACAGTGCGAGAGAGAAAACTATTCTGGACGTCTCATAACTAAAATAACTTAAATCTCGTGCACATAATGATTATGCGATTATTCGTGATAATATTGATCAATAATTTTTGAATTTATTTCTCATTGTTGCCGTTATAACAGAAAACGTTGTCTTTAGAAGTTCACTCTGGGCAGATAAAATCGGAATCATGTCAGAATCACTCAATCAATGAAGATTATTCAAGTGATATCAATGAAGTAGAAAACACAGAGATTTCTGAACGCATACGTGAAGAGTTAAGTGATATTTCTGAACGTATATCAATTTTATCGACAAACTCTTCTCTTCCTATCCAATATCAATCAGATGATATTGATGTATCACATGAAATAGGTTAGTTTTTATCTTGAGGTTTATTTTCAAAATTTTATGGTCTTAAATTTTTTTATCTAAATTCGTTAGATTTAAAACCCAAATCATATAGTGACATTATTTCTAGCATACCGTCAATTTATATCATCTAGAGATAATTGTATAAATGAATTCACATACAAAATGAAATCTTAACAATCTTTTTAATTACTAATCCTGTATAAATGATATATTTGAAAATAAATTCAAAAGTATTTGCTTATACAAAGTAGAACTTTATAAATATAAAATTAACTCATTTATTTTGTTTATGATTGTAGTCGTGACATTAGGAATTCAAATTACAGACTGATAAATACAGCTGTTTACAAATATCGAAAAGCAGTCAAAGTATGCAGTAACTTTGTAAATTGGTTTTTTTTTAAGGAATGGTGCTTTAAAGAAAGTTTTCAATTAGAACCTGATAAAAATTTATTGACAAGAATATTTTTCGTTCAAAAAATTCAAAATTCAAATATCACTGTTTTAATATGTTGGGGATTTTTAAACGTGTTAAAATATAGTAAGTAGCAACTCTATTGTATTTTAAGGGAGAAGGCTGAAAGAAAGTTAGTGACGGCCAGACCACAGCAGGGCACAAATCGATGAAGTCTCTAACAACTGGACTGAGACATGTTAGTAGTTTTCAACTAGCAGTTTGTGGTCTGCGAGAGGATAGTAACCGATGGTAAGAGACCTTAAATGATATAACTCGAAGTCGTTTGCAGTGGCGCAGATACATTCACTCTTTGTCCTCTCTCCAATTCTAATCTGAATTCCTCCTCATCATCTCTCTCTTTCTAAATTTATGTCACTGAATTACACTTCTTGAATAATATCTTCGAACCCTAATCTTCTTCTCTCTACAAGTATGGGATTTGCATTGACGATTTCGTCTCTGTGCTAATGTGGTATGGCAGCCTGAACTGATGTACGTACGTACGTGCGAATTTCTATGTTGTTGTCTTCATAACGATAAAAACGATGATCGCTGGGTTGGAATTTCACAGTCAGCAATTATATAAATCCAGTTTAGTGCGTTCGTGGACTATTTCCAATTACAAACCAGTTTTTGTTCTTGACAACAACAACAACAACAAAACTCTACTTTTAAAAGTTTTGTTTGAGTTTATTATAATTAGCCACCTTTGGTTATATATTTTTAAGATCAATAAATTATTTGAAATTCTTCAGGTAATTCTTTCAGTCACATTCGCTTTGTCATATTCTCAGTATCAAAAATAATTTTCCTGTACCTTAATTCCGATTTTGAAGGAATAATTAAACTCGATAAAATATACTCACTATAGTTTCCCAAGATTTCACATAAGTATTTTATCATTTTATTGCTTTATAGGCTTACGACAAAGTACATCTTTATCAGACAGAACGTTTGCACTATACGATTCATTTTCCGAAACCATCCCAAATAAACAGAATTCTTCAGTATACAATAAAATTAATTTGACGCCAGATACATCTAACAATCTTGTGTATTCACTTGATCGATTTTCTCACGAAGATGGAATCACAGTTCAGTACAGACAAAAAACATTGAACAGAGATAACTTGGATTCACTCAGGAAACTGAAGCACTACCCGACAGCCGGCAAAAATTCTATAGTCAACAAGAAACATATAAAAACTATTTTTCACAATAAAACTTGGTCCAAAGTACCTCAAAATCTACTAATTAGTGCTGCTGAGGGTCTACAGGAACTGTGTCAAGATTCGTCATCTGATGAATCTGTTGATGATAATTCTTCACTAAATTTTGTAATTCAGAATTCCCTTCAAAACTTAAGTGGTAGCAGTAGTAGTACAGAAAGTAGTAATCATACTTATACTATGGAAAGTCCATCTGAATTTTTAAACAGAAAATTAGATCTTGAACAAATGGAGGGAAGTTACCATTCCGCGATTTCAAACAATACAGAATCTAATTCAAGTGAGTTACTTTACACAAATTTTCATTTTTAGTTTCAGATATCTATTATTTAGATAACTTGATATTCATTATCTCAACTACATATCATCCAATGAATTTATAACTAAAATTTCGATTGTCACTTGATCTTGTTAAAACCCGTATACACTTCTTCTATGCTTTGTTAATATCTAATTCCACGAGACATGGGACAAAGTGGATTTTACGGGCTCATGTTGCAGCCAGTTTACTTTGCATTACTGATCGGTTATCAATTTATATTAGGTTTGGGGAGTAAAGCATTTCCAAATACTACAAGAATAATTACGTATAATGTGTTCAATTTGTTACAACAGTAGAAATCCTTAGAAGATAACATGATATAACTAAACATGATATTTTGCACTTTAAGGGAATGCACTCATTTACTCGACTGTTTGATATATTTTTAAAAATATTTTATTCATTTTACCAAATAAAATTCTAAATGTTATGAAAATTTTTTTATTCCTTTCTTCACGATAGGTTCACATATTCATGAATCAGTTGACTATTCAACTAGTAATGGTGGAGCATTCATTCGACCTCGTCTACCTCATTCTGTTGTTCCAAATGCAGATTTTTACTTGAAGACCAATAATAATGATAATAATAGTGCAATCAAAGAAAGCAAATTATCACAAGGTCCATTAAAAATGACTGACTTATTATCATTTGAAGAATTGGATGATTATTTGTTTAATACACAAAAATTAGTTACAGTATGTTTAAAAACAAATCTTGTTAAATGATTATTCCTAACTAGTTTATGTAGTCGTTACTGTAATCATTACAATACAATGATCAATCTATATTATAAAAATATGGAATATGGCCTGGTCAAAATATAAATAGAAACAAAATGTATATTGATGTGGAAGAAATGTAGTTTTTTCAGAAAATGCAGATCTTTTCAACAAAGAAAAAAATTTAAAATTTAATATTGAAAGTTAAATTTGCTTGACGGGAATTTAACAACAGTGTACAAAGATAAATTAAAAAATAGGAAACTATGGCGTAACCAGTTGAGCAAATATAATCTGTATACAAAAGTCTCTATGACTGTATATGGCATGCATGATAAGTGTGCCTTACAATAATAAACAGATTGGTTGAAAACTATGAAATTATGGTAGCAAACCTATTACTGTTCAACAATTTATAAGCTCGTAATAGGATTTATATATATATGGTTTTTTGTGTGCAAATGTTTTCCAACTTTAAAAAACAATTGTTTTTCTGTGTTGGTCATGATACATTATCGATCTATTTGACGGAATAAATAAAACACAGAATTTTGTAAGGAACACTGTTTAAAATATTTACTAGTAATTTTAGTATTCGATGACTATTTAATCCGAAATAAATAGAAAATCAATCTATGGTTATATTATGTTGTCTAAATGCAACAATTTTTTTTGAATACTTAATTAAATATTTTGCTTTTAAATCCATTATTTACATATCTATTCATCGACTGAATTCGTCACATATAGCTAAACAATTTACATAATGTGTTCATTGTTATTTCGAAATAATTTTATTCTAATCTGTTTTTAAATTACAACTACTAGCAATTGGAGCAAAAAATGGCAAATAATAAATCTGAAAAAGTAATTCCTCAAAAACAATGGACAGTCAAACAGAATGAAACAGTCTGCTCTGCTGAAGATTACGAAGTAGAGAAAGCGTTAAATAATGCTGATCAATTACTTGGATCAGCTGTTAATAAGCGTTTGTCAGCCATTCTACAACGGCGACAAGATAGACAAAAATCTTACATCTCAAGTGTGGAACAGGCAAAAAAGGTAATGAATGGCTGTAATGAGATTCCTGAAGGAAAAGCCAACAGGTCACGTAGAACAACTCAGTCTATGGTAACAACGCGACCACAATCTCAGCAACCAGCGTCTCGATGTCCAAAGGACTCTGATACACCTTGTGATCACCCCTCTATGCCTACAAGAAATGCATCTGAGACGCGGCGTAATTACTCAAAGTGAGCATTACATTTGATCTCTAAACTGACAATAATATATTAACGATCATTCCAACATCATTAATAATCCGCTTCTTTTCGTGAAGTTTTTAAACTGATTTTCTTTCTAGATTTCATGGAAATTGACTAAGAATCAGTATTTGAAATTCAAGTACACATTTCATTCAGCATATTATCCACATTGTTCTCATGGCATCACTTTCATCAGTAAAAAATTTAGGCAACACTGGTATTCGCAATGATGATGTTAAAAGCCTGAACTAAATTCATTAAGATGTTTGTTGAAAATCAAGTACAAATGAACAAGCTGTTAAACACACTTTGATATTACGTAGTCCTTAGTATTTCTAGACCTAAACGTAAGACATCCACTTTTTGTGATGGATTCGATACTCGTGGATTAGTAGACGTGATCTAAAACGCAATCATTCTATTGTTCCTTGTCTATATTTTTAAATGTGCTGTTGAAGGTAATTTGGGGACGAAATAGTAGAATACTTTATAGTTTGCTGTTTTACTGCTAAAGCTACTATATTTGCAATAAAAATGAAGGTTTTCTCAAAATAATAGGAGCAATCAATAACATTCACTGTTAAGAATTAAATGATCACGTCTCTTACTAAGTATCTATTATTGGTCTCAACACCAAATACTGTAATAAAATTGTTGAATATGTCAATATTTTGTTAGTAAAACTCAGGGTTGCATAGGTTTAACAAGTTTTTCGGTGATACATCAATACATTTTAACTGAATTGATTTCAACTTATCGACCGGAATTAGTGTTCTTTGAAATTATGAATGAACACAGGATAATTCATGTCTTACTGACATTCTAGTTAATGAAAAACGACTAAGTTTACCTAAAAAATAATTTAATACTGTTCGTTCAATTTTACTTTCAGCAGATTATCGCATAATTCATCTAACTTCCCAGTGTCCGTAGAAAAGTGTACAAAATCTTTCTTTTCACAGAAAACAGTCAACATTGATCGTCATGGTATTGCGAATAATCACTCATCAATCTCATCTACACCTGAAAGTTCAAGACACTTAGGTGTAGATGCTTTAAAAACAAGTAAAATGTTAGCTACTCTCAACTGGCAGCGTCGTAAATCCTATGATCCAAGACGATTTCTTAATAAATCAAGTGGAAATTCTACAGGTATATTATTATGCTATATTTTATTTTGCAGTAACATTTTGTAAATAACTAATGCACACTGTTCAAGTATAATATTACATTTTTTTAGATTTCTGACTTAATAACTATAAAACTCAAAGTTTAGCTTCCTGATCAGAGTTTGGAAACAAAGACTAACAGAATTACCTGAGTTTATTTATTTCGCAGTCTTTTTGAGTGTTTGTAGCCAAATGAATATATGTATAAGTTGTTTGACAAATTGTATGAAATATATACTCTTATCATCTTTACAAGAGAGTTTTCATTAGTATACATGAAAATCATCATCAACAGCAACGTAGAACTTTGCACGTAAGTACAGCAGTTCAAGTTGCCATACCACATCAGCACAGAGATATAATTGTCAATTCAAATCCCATAGTAGTGGAGGTAGAAAAAGTATTAGAAGTAAACGGAGAGGTTAGGGTTCGAAGATATTGTTCAAGAAGTAGAATTTTGTGAAATGAACTTAAAAAGAAAAAGATATAGGTGATGAAGAATTCAGAAGGTTAGGACTTGAGAGAACACAAAGCATAAATGCACCTGTGCCTTTGCAAACCATTTTGAGTCATGTCATTCAAGGTCTATAATCATCGGTTACTACCATCTCGCGGACCCCAACCAGGTAGCCTACATCTATCAATATGACTCAGTCCACTTGTCAGTGACTTCATGGATTTCTGCCATGTTTCGGTCTGGCCGCCCTTAGCTTTTTTCCAACCTATTCCTGCACCGCAAGACAGCTCGACGAGGCAGTCGGTGGTTAGGCATACGCAACACGTGTCCCAACCACATGTGTTGGAACGTGAAAATATTAAATTTAGATTAGTGTAGGACAATGGATGTAAGAACTCTCAAAATGACTGAATACCTATAAGGAATTTTGACTAATTGTATTCAACTGACTTACTCGAAATAGAGAGCATAACAACTTCATGTGATCTACATTTGTGAACAAATCGGAAACTTGATTTAAAGACTAAACGGTATAATACTACCTACTGTTCAGTTAGCATTTATCATAACTTAGTATTTAAAATTTTTTTCAACTGACCAGTTACTTATTTTTCTATTCAAATAGTAATTAATACTTTGAACTTTACTTAACTTTAGTAGTGAGTTTTGAAAAGCTACTAATATTTTGAATTACACTTTTAAAAGACATGCTTGATTAATATTACCGTAATTAAAAAAGATACTTCAAACTTTACTTGTCAGTTAAAAATCGAATCTATGCAAAAGAAATTGACAAACATCTGGCGTTTGAAAATTATTTGAGATGGTCATTCAAACTACTCATTTGACTTTTATAGGAATTTCAGCATGAATTCCTTATTGTTTGGGATACTGAAATTGATGTAGAATTTTAACATACATTCCATTCAGTCACAGTAACTAGAGATGTTCAAGACTGTGTTCAGTGTTTAAGGCATTTATTAGATACATTAAGTTATTATTAAATTATAATATATGCTAAAGTTAATATTTGTGAGCATGTTAGAGGACAGTGATGACGCGTTTAACGTGAATCATCGTTTGAACCAGTTGCTCCCGTCTGCAGTTGTCATTTTATTATGACTAAATCCAACCAAGTATGATTGAAATTATACAACTCTGGTGTTGATTTCATTCTTTTGGTAACCTTCAAATCTTTAGATTTGTCTGCTTAAGACACATTTAATAAGCATATATATTTCCGATATTGGGATAAACCGGGTCTGCTCGTTGACACATTTAAAAATATACTCAGAGTTAATGTTGTTTCAAAGTTCAACACAAATGCACAGGGAAAAAATGTAGTTTTCAGAAGAATAAAGTCTAACTTTTAGGTTAAAAACGAACGCTGAACAATTTTTACATCAACATAGTATAAATAAACTAAATCGTTCGTGTTGTGACTGACGTTTTATAGATGATTAAACTTTTATGTAACATGATGTTACATTTATCTTCTGCTTACGTCCGTCAACACCGTTTACTGTTAATGTCAACATAATTAGAATCCCATGCACTGTTCTAACCCATTTCCAAAACTACCAACTAAAACGTCAAGAAAACCAGCTAAGCATCATACATTATGCTGTACTTTTTAGACATTGACATTCATTTGGTTTTATACATGAATATATGACTATGCTTGATGATAAACTATCAATACTTATATGTATATATGAAACCAGAATATTCACAGTACAACGGTGAACAACAAGCTCGTGACTTATTTATGCTGATTTATAAGTCGTGAACAATATAGCAACAAATATTAAGTCAAATCACAGCTCAACACCAAGAAAATATAAAATTTCATGAACCAAATGTTTCATAAATACCTACTGAGAATGCATATATTAAACTACTGGAGAATGGAATCTAAAGTATCACATTATAATTTGTTCGATATATCCTACCACAATCAAAATTTTCTTAGATTACCGAACTGCTTATAGTCTTGATGAATACTCAACTAATCGGCACTGCAGCTTTATAAATAAAAATATGAGTCTCTGTCAAATTGATAGAATTGAAACTCCATTTAAAGTCAGATCTCGTTTCCTTTCTGATAAAGTAACCACCTCGTTGATTTTGTTTTCTGTGATTGTAGTTTCTTCATTATCCAGGTGTTTCCTTAACTACAGATATTATTACAACAAAGATATCCTTGCTTAATAATATAATCTTTGTCAATATTAAATGCATTCTTCTTTCAAGCAAAGAAGTATCTTTTCCAAATACTGATTCCAACTAATTGTCATGATTCTATTGTGAAATGGCTTTGCATCACTGAATTCTCAAACAATCTATGGATTGCAAAATACAAAATCTCTGTGTAAAAAAAATTAATTCTAAGCGTTGGCTTGTAAAACTAAAAATGCTTTCCTGTCAGACATCTTATTTCCGGAAGGTATAGTTTTTACTGAAGAAGGCAACTGCATACTAACTTGTTTATATAAACCCATAACTTCTCTTCGACAGCATATAACAATAATGTTAAGATATGGACCTTTCTTGTTGGCTACATTCCAGCTGTATTGGAATTCTATTTATTTTGCAGGTATAGAAGAAATAAAGCTGTATTTTCCATCCTCTCACTTGAGTTTCTATCTGAGTGTTGAAAAACATTTAACTTCTAAATGTGACCATTCAAAATAGGTTTCATATTCAAATCAATTCATGAATAAAAGGTTGCTTTATAAAGGTTATTGAATGAAATTTTACTGCAATGTTGGTTTCGTTTCGACTAAATTAATTTACCTACCATTTTGATGTAGTTACTGACACTAAAAACAAACATTTTTGAAATTGTATTCTAAGTCAATTGAATGTTCTACAATATCGTTTGCATTCTCCAACTTCAATCCGAAAGTAGAATTAATAATTTATACAGTTACAGACGTTTGTGCACACAACTGGTCTGTAAGTTACAATATATTTTCAGAATGTAAGTTGTATAGTTTCAATCAAAATTTTACTCTTTTATTTCCAACAAGCTCGTTCACAAAGTCGACCACCAAAGGATGATGATATAATGAGTATATCTACAGATAGCAATCCTAAAAGTTGTATTAGCAGTCATTCTGTTCGCCCAATGCATCATAGATTGACAGTTACTACTCGTCGAACGGCACCCGTAGATACAGCCGACTGTATAGCAGCAATAGAGGTTGTTAAACAAATAAAAATGAACAATGATTCAAAAGATATTGCCAATTTTTGCGCCACAAAAACTAACAACTCTGTAAATGATTCAACTCGTAGAACATTCACAGGTCAACATAACCAAGATGTTGGTGAAACCGAGTCAAAGCTTATCACTTCAGTCAGGAAATCTGCTACAAGTGAATCTCGTTCGAAGACAAAGCAAATTAACAAAAATAATTTAGTTTTTGATGGATCTAAACATTCTAGTCGGCATCAGAGCCTTAATGAAAATGTGAGTTATGAATCAAACTCTATATGTATTTACAAGTTATTATTTGGTTTTTTCATGTCCACACAAATTTGTAAACTTGACTCACAATTTTAAATAGAAATGTTCCTTATAAGACTGGTTACACTATTGTAGTTCTCACCATTTTCAGTCGAATCTTAATGAGTCATTCTATCTTAGTAGCAAACAAAAACAGACATAGACAGTAGAATCATTTTTATTCGCTAATTCTCCAGTTTTTGTTCATAAACAGTTACATTACTTGACCTTCATAAAAATAAAATACATTTTATTCAGTCATTTTATTGATTTGTTTGCATAACATATTAATTGATAAAAAATAGTCACTAACTGAAACAGGTAAAACATCTTAGAAATTATTATTTTCAGTTAAATTATTTGCAAATTACCAAAACATGATACAAATCCATGAAGTTATCGACATTTGGACTAATCCATGTTAGTAGGTGTAGACTATCTGGATGGGTTCCGCAAGACAATAGTAACCGAGGGTTAGAGACCTTAAATGATATGACTCAAAATTGCTTTTTATGGTGCAGATCCATTCATTCTTTGTGTTCTCTTAAATTCGAATCTTCTGAGTTTCTCAACTCTTTCCTCTCTCTTGAAATTCATTTAACTGATATATACTTCTCCCATCATATCTTCGATCTCTAATCTTTTCGATTACCGTTAATCTTGCTACTACCGCTACCACTATGGGATTCGAATTGACAATTCGATCTCTTTGCGTTAATGTGATACAAACTGATAAACATACGTACGAAGTGCTATGTTGTAGCTGACTGACTGATTTGTTAATACTTCTTTCATATCCCATGAAGTATATACTATTTCTAATTAGCTTAGATCATTCAAACAATCGAATTGTTGAGCTAATAAAGTGAAATATGAATATACTGTGTGGAGTGAGTGTTCTTACTACGTGTTCTCCAACTACGTTTCTTGTAACGATAACATTGATTATCTCTACCACTAGATAAAGCTGTAAATGTAAGTAATCTTATGACTGAAACAAAACTGATGAGCTTCGATGGAAAGAAAAACGTAAGGACAAGAGAGAAGGAATTATTATGCAATAAAAAAAATAAACCAAAAACCGTTTTAAATACAACGATTTTCACAAGTTTGATTTCTATCGATTATTTATAAGATTCTGAATAAATTAAGCACTTGTCATTGATTGATTTATGAGTGACCATGTAAGTATAATTTATAAATATCGCAAGATTGCAAATCCACAGTTAACAAGTAAACTGATCGATTAAATCAAATGATTATTTGATATTAAAGTTTTTTGACAAATATCTTTCTTTCGTAAATCACTATTTTCAGGTAAACTGACGTTTGATTACTTTCTTTAATGGAAATATTAGGTTTAAATTCTTGATGTATCATTGCTTTTTTTGTCTCATATAAACATCATCAGAAACATGCAAACAAACGACTGCCATCTGTTGTCACTGCTCGTTTGCCTACACATCAACAAATGCATAATGGTCACAATACAATAAGAATAACTTCTCAGTCATGTACCCGTGAATCGAATCATGTCAGTCAGTTGAATACGGCTAATGTAACCGCTATTGAATCTGCCGATAATAATAAAACTGCTAACCGAGATGGGTCGGTATGTTTTCAACAATTTAATTCTTTCATCTATATGATTCCAATTCTATTTTTACATTTAATGGCTGTTTTATTTCAAGTATCAGTTACACGGAAGTCAATCATTTATGTTTCAGCCTCTTGCCTTCAGATACATTAGGTTTTGAATTTTTTGAACGAATTTTTGAAAGCAGATTTTTTGCTTCAGTCAAATATTAGAAATATTAGTGATCTATACCTGCTATGACATACCTTTCACTGTTGATGTGTTCTAAATATATTGATTAAAGCCCCATGGGTTCACAGAACTAAGTAATTTAGTCAGCTAGTAATAATGGACAGTAAAATATAGTTGTGGAAAGCAATTTATTCAGTCGAGAAATCTTTTCCAGGAAGTTCGTTTTCAGGCTGCTTAATAGTATATATATAAGTCAATAAACAATGATATGTTTAAAATAATTAGTCCCTTTTATAAATTTTGATCTAACAGTAAGAAGATGTAATTGATCTGAAAAAAATGTGAATGTATTTGCGCTATGTAAGTTTGTTTTTACTACTCCATGAAACATTCAACCAAGACATAACTTGTGTTTTCGTTTGGATTCGTTCAGTTATCTTCAATTGATTAAATATTATGCAATTACAATTGACACATGGTCAACATTTTATTAATAGGCTTCAAGTTAGTTTATAGTTTTATTTTGTTTCTATAAATGTTTAGTCTTAATAATTTTTATTTATACACAACCAGTATATAACATAAATGTATTGGTCTGTTTTTAGATTTATCCTGACATTGCTGTTGAGTCAGTCAAGTTTAAAATTGAGAAACTGACAAATTTCATCGTTCGATTACGAAAACGAATTGAGTAGGTTTATTATAGCTTTCATAAATATTTATATTTGCATAAATAAACAAACACATTAAACATTTTAAAAAAAATGATGTTTACATTATGTAGTATGAGTCATTTCATCTGCATCTATGGTAGTTTTCATAACCTGCTCGTAAAGAAGCAAACACAGTTGAATGATATTTTGTATGAAACACAGTAAATTATTTCAGTGATACAAATATGAATATCATAATTCGTGCTTTATCATAGATTTATTTCTGTATTGAAACAATAATTAAATTATTCAAGAGTACTACTTCAATCACGTCCCTTCATATTATGTTCAATTCACGATCCTCTGTAGATTTAAAAACAAAAACTATAAACGAAGTGATACACCAACTAGGAAGTCAACAGTCATTGAATCATTTCAATTAAATAACAATCTAACTTCATAAATTTATTTATAGATAGTCAACAATACGTACCACTGAATACACAACCATATCTGTTTTACCAATCAAGTTTTAAGGATAGAATTATCACTCGTCATACATTTTTTAGTCATGAAATGTAACTACTACCAGCTGAATTTTTATAACTAGCTTCTTTATGCAATCCTTTCATTAAAGTCTTTTCTTATTTCATTGAAGAATAGGCTAAGAAGAAAATACTCTAAAACTGTTGTTTTTTCCTATAAGTTTTCCATTATTTAGCCTGATAATAGTTTACAGTCATATTATTGTATAACAAGAAACTTTGTCACAATATTTTTACAATTGAAAATTAGATGTTGCTAAAATTCAACAGTCTGATTTTATTTTTATAATGTGCATTAAAAAAGATAACAATACTTTGATGTCATCATAAAATAAAATAAGCAATCAATCTAATATTTTATTTATTCTTGATCACTAGAGAGAGTTAAATAATATGATTCATTTAGGTTAATAATTTCGAATGTGTAAGTGATAAAATCTACCCAATGAAGCAGTTAGTTGCCAAATTACTTTGACTAGTAACCATTTTTCCGTAAAAAAACAAACCTAATTGTAGTGTTATTAACATGTACAAATTTATAAATCCTGAATGATGTAACTTGATTAAATAAACACAAAAAGCTAAAGTAACGATAGAATTTAAGCCTGTTTGTTAGAAATAAATGTCTAAAATAAAACTCTTGCAATTACAAAGAAATCTAAGTGGTATTTATGTGTTTGTCATACTCGAATTTCGATTTCAATACTCTAGATTAGTGCTTAATTTTAAGTAATATTCTTTATGACAAATCAATTTTTGTAAAGTTAACTGTAAATTTATTCATCTTTCATTCTACCATTCCTCACAACTGCACACTATCTACACCTTAAATTATCAAATCACATATGCTTCCACATAACATTATCAGTATGATTGTTAAACTCATCAAGAATTCAAAAACTTTATTTCAAGTTTAGTAGAATCGTTTTGGTCAACGAACTAACACCTCTGATGGACATTCGATATAAGACTTCTTGTTCTTAGTAGTTATATATGATTAAAATATTTACGATCACATCTTAAAAGCTGTTCAGAAATTTCTTTTCCTATTTAACCTGAAAGGTATCTAACACAGTGAATATTCTCAAGTAAAAGATTTTGAATATATTGAGGTTATTTATTTGTAAAAGAAGAAGAATTTTTTGAATAATTCATCAAGCCTCTACATAAAACACCAAATAATTGATATGTCTATTCTTAAGTTGTTTAATTTTTGGTTAATTTGAAATATTTTAGTCTGGATCATTCTTTACAGTTTATTGCTGTTTCTGCGAATCAAATATTCCCTATTGACAGAGAAATTTTTACTTCATTTCTACTTAATATTTTATAATTATAAATTAGTCACCCTGTTGCTTTTAATTTTTTACTGTGTTCAAATTTCAATTATTATTTTAACTATAAGTTAATAAAACGTTCATACATTTCTTGACCTGACATAAATCAAATTGATTACATCTTTATGATTATGACCTTAATTCTTTTCAATAAATTTATATGAACAAGATTTGTAACCTAAGTTACGTGGATAAAGATGAACTAAAAGGATCGTAAATTACCGGTTTGCAAAAGTCAAACAGTTGAAAGCATTTATACTGAAATTAAGTAAATGTTTCATTTGCTTTACGTTTCAAGAAATGTATATTTTTTTCAGACTATGTAACTTGTTTGAATACTTTGAGTAGTGAATAGTTTTCATCTAAGTGGTGAATTTATGTTTCATGTTAATTACTCTTTATCAACTAGAGTTATTCATAACCTAAAGAAATATGATGCTACCCGTGAACCTCGAAAAGGGTTTATCTAATGTTACAATCTCATGTGTCACGTTTTATCTGCTTGAAACACAAATGATTTCCAATGTAGTTTTGATATTCAAAGTGATTCACTGGTAGTCATTGTTATATTTATGTAATTTTCAATCCAGATTAAATTTTGGTGATCACTTTGTAACTTGATCATTTGTCCAAATGACCTGATTTCTATATCTTAGACAAAATCACTGACACCAATATTAAAATCAGTCACATTTCAAAATTTTCACCACAAATTTTTTGATGAATTTGTATTGAAATGGTTATCTTATAGTTGTGGGATTATTCGAAATTCATGTGGCCTCTGTAATTGTTTTCATTAGTTACGATCTGACTATGTGGTTAAAAACTATTTTCATCGTTGGCTAACAGAGGTAGCTATTTCGAATATACCTATAACTTTTTAAACAAGCTATCTTAAACCAAATCATTCTTATCGACTTTTTGGCGCCATTTTCATACTTCTTAGTGAATTTCACTTTCATAGATTATTTTACGTACTGGTATAAATCAAGATATCCACTATTTGACCTAAAAAAGTGACTCTTGTTTTAGTTAGGAGTTGAATTATTGGCACAACTACATGAAAATCTAATTAGGTTTAGATATGATTTAGATTCTTGTTATACACAAACAAAGACTACAAACGGCTTCTGATGACAGAGTTAAAAAAAAGAAATATCTCTAAAAAATTTTGACACCTTTGAAATCATTTTGAAATACTTTCAATCTGTAATCTATTATTTGATAGCAAATCTTGCTGAGATTGATTATGAGCATACCACAATATGTAAAACTAATTTATTTGACACTATTCCACTTATGAAAATCCTTAATTTTCATTCTTCCATCCTTAAACATCACCATCAGCAACTTGAACCAAGATCTTCCCATTTCGCAGATGGTTTATATGTACATAAGAATGTACAACTAGTTTTATTTTTTGTGTAATCTTCTAATTTAATGACATTTGTACGTTTAATTCCTTATTAGGCGTGATTATGCAGAACATGGTACGTGTTCACCAGGTGATGATGTTTTTGGGGATGAAGCTGTAGGAGCTGTAGTTGCAGGTAGACCAACTGGTATGCATCCTGTTGTTGCAACATGTCTTCAAAATCTACGTGTACTTGAAGTAAATGCTCAAGGTAGTTGAATTCATGTAAAAATACGTTGCAATAACAATTTAATTTTATCTATTTTAATTGAAAAACTGATCAATATCTACCGTAGCTTAAAACGTCAGGTGTACTCCTGAATCAACCATAACACTTTATTTCGATTTAGATTAATAAAAACCTAAATTGTTAGTACGTAACATTTTCACTACCTTTTCAAAACAGATAACAAAACCGACTATAATTCATGCTATTCAAAGCCGTTAATGAACATATAACTAGGCTTTTAATTCCCTTATGATGAACACTTTTTTCATGTATTATTGTAGGAGATGAAATAAACATAATCACTTTATTTTGATATACTTTTCCTCAATTACGTTTTGCCACCAAATTTTTTATTTACCAAACGACTATAATTTTCCCAAACCAGCTCTCCTCATTTCTACTTGTTTAGGTCCTTAAAAAATTGATTTCAGAATCTTTAAGGCCCAGTATTTTCCCGTTGATCTACTTTTAACAGATTAGACTTCAACTTTTCATGGAATTATAGTTTGTATATTGACAGAATAATGGCAGGTTTAACGGCGATCCCGATCAGTGAGCAATGAACAGACACCAATAATTCGGTATGAAGTTACGTGTTCGAATATAAATGGTGATACTTTTAGAGACTAATGCTATTCATTGTTCTACTCGCTCAAATCTTATGCAAGCCATCATAACGATTTAAAGTAGGTAAAGACCAGGACAGATATTCGCGAACGTCTATTAGTCATGTTATATGACAGTAAAATATGTTAAAAAAATCCCATAAAGACATGCGTATCTTTGATGAGACTTCTTCTGCTGAGCATTTATGAGAATCGATGCGATATAAAGAGACGGATACAATCTTAACACACTAAAATATGACAACTTTTACCAGTAACGTAACTGTGCACGATTTGTCTAAAAATATTTTGTACTTGGGTAAGATCTATTTGTTTTTTCATATCTCTTTGTATGATTACTTCTACTTCTACTAATAAACAGAAATAGATTTATTTAACTTATATATTCTCTTTTACATGATATCACCATTTATCTAATTAATTACTTTTATAACGTATAGAAATATTCAGTCTACTTTATCCAAATGAAGTTGACTTTTGGGAACCGGCTAGAGTATGTTTACTGGAAGGTACAGATGATGACAAACTTTTCAACGATGCACGAAGTCAAATTACTGAACATTTATCGAGTTCTATTGAAACATCAGGAAAATCTATAGAGAATACCGGTATTGTTCAAAACAAAATTTCTAGTCCGTTAAATTGCCTTTCTGACAAACTTGAAAATACCAAAGAATCAGATACATTAGGTGATGCAGATTTGATTTGAATAAATCTATTTTGCCTGTTATTCAGCAATTATTTCTATTTGTTTCCAAATAATCCGTCATCAATAACGAATTTCGTTTAACATTATTAGATTGATCATGCGGTACTAACATAATTCTTTTCTACTGATTTTTCAATACAATACAAATTAGCTGTGATTTGTAATGTGTATAGTTAATATTTATGCTTTTATTTATTTGTTGAAATATGAAGTCGATCATTTTTGACCTGCTAGGTTATATTTTACATGTCAAACAACCAATACGAACGAACAAAATACCTGAGAATTAAAATTTACTCTTGGAAAAATAAATTCTATAATTACTAGGGTTTATAAGATGATGCTGATCTAATTCTACAGTCAGTTAAATGAATTGAAAGTAAATGTACATATATTATTGAGTTGTAATTACTATTAATGCTGTTCATCATTTTTTATTGTACAATCATTGTAATCCTTCTTTTCCTATCATTTTTTTGAATGGTGATTATGCGATTTGTCAGTGTGATTGACAATTGGTTAGGTAATTTATTTTGATTTCCGTAAGGTTATGTAAAAAATATTTTCTTTTGAGTTAATGACAATTCATTGTCTTTTCAATGTCATGAATGAAGTTAAGCTGATTTCCATTTTATATTTCGATGGATGAAGATGACAAAATTATTGATACTTCTAGTAAATAACACACACTTATATTTCTTTAATATACTTCATTATAAGTTGATCGAGTTCTGTACTTAACAATGTTCACTTTGTAGTTAGCGATTGGACTGGATACATACAAACATGGAATTGCGAGTATGAATTAGTTGTACTCACTTAAATGAATCCTGTTACTCCAATGAAAAATAGGCCGCCGGGCTGCATTCTCCAATCTAATCCGTCCTGAACCTTCCTTTCCAGTTCTATCTGATTGCCGTTCATTCCTCCTATGTCTGTTTTCGACTCTCGACGCAGTCCGCTTCTTGGTCTAGCACTTCTTCTCTGGTCTTGAAGATTCCCAGTTAGGGCTTGCAACATTATTCAGTAAAGTGCTTTCCTCAATGTGTGTCCCACCTATCTCCAGCAGCTCTTCTTAGTTTCTCCCTCAGCAAGAATCTGGTTTGTTCTCATTCGCAGTTGGTTATGGCTGGTAGTATCTGTCCGACGGATCCCCAGAATCTTTCATAGACAACTGTTAATAAACACCTAAATCTTTCTTATGATAGCTTTCATGGTTCTCCTAGTTTGGGTCACATACAGTAAAACTCTCTTGGCTTTTGTATTAGAATTGTGACTTCAGTGTTGTTCCACAGTTGTTCTGAGTTCCAGAAGTTGTTCGACTGTCAAAATGCAGCCCTTAGTTTCCCGATCCGTGCCTTCAAATCTTCATCAGATCCACCTTGCTCGTCAATAATAATGTCCACATACGTAATGGCTTTTGCATCCTCCAAAGCTTTTCCATCAAGAGTGATTTGGTTGATGCATAATGTGTTGTGTCGAAAGATCTCGCTTTTTCCCTCGTGTATATTCAAACCAATGTTGCTGAGGCTGCCGTTACGCTGGTCATCTCCTGCATTTGTTATCGCCTGTGTGATAGAAGGGTCAGATCGTCCAGCTGTATCCGAGCTATCCACTGTATCCCACGCTTCCCTCCAGATTTAGAGGTATTCATAGTGCAGTCGACCACCAGGAGAAAGACAAAGGGTGACAGTAAGTAACCGTGCCCAACAACACCAGTTCCCACCTCGGACGAGTCTGTCAGCTGTCCTCAATTAAGTCTAATCCTTCATAAGAATTCAGTATGATGTTGAATATCTTCTCAGGTACGCCGTAGTATCAAAGAAGCCTCCATAGCGTTGTCTTGTCTACACTGTCAAATACTTTCTCGTAGTCAATGAATTAAGTTGCTGTAGAGTGGTGAGTTTGATTCAATTTATTGTTTCACATTGATCCGTAATATTGCAATTTGTTGGGTTCATGATTGATCCTTACGAAATTCAGCCTGTTAATCTCGTAGTTGGTAGTCTTCGGAATCGTTCATTCGGTTTGACAACATCCTGTTGAAGACTGTGCCTGGTATTGGGAGAAAATTGATTCTTCTGTAGTCTTCACAATTGTTCAGATCGCCTGTTTTGGCATTTTGATGATTTGTCCTTCTTTTTAGCCTGTCGGTACTTGTTCTTCCTCCTAAATCTTGCTGGGGAGGATATGGAGTATATTTGCAGTGTCTGTTACGTCTGCTTGCAGTGCTTCAGTTGGTATGTTGTCTGGCCCTCCCTCTTTGTCACCCTTGATTTATCTGATAGCCATGTTGATTTCCTCAAATGTTGGTGGGTCAACATCATTGTAAAGATCCGCGTGTGTTGCTTCGATATTGGGTGGTTCCAGTGGGATCCGTTGGTTGAAGAGTTCTTCACAATGTTCCGCCAACTTTTTTCACCGTTGTTAAATGTCGGTGAATACTTTGCCTCCCTTGTTTTTCACTGGTCGTTCTGATTAAAGGCGAAACTCTCCGTTGCATCGTATAGTTGTGTTATGCGCTTTGGTCCATACAAGTAGTGGTAAAACTAGTTGGAACTATTGCGAATAAAGGGCTTCATATTTTTGTTTGTATGAGAGGACAGTGAGTTTCTTGTTAGGTGAAAAATATCAATGCTGGATAAGCTATCATGAAAGCAGCCTTACTCCGGCAATTAACCATCTCAATAGTTTCGTACTCTTCAAATGTGAACCCTCTTCATTGAGAGTAAATTTTGGACTCGGCACAGGTTGTCATAGAAATCCTTCTGTTCAAGTGTTCTCCCTGATTCAAGTCAAATAGGAAAAGTTATGGTCACTTGAAGCAGCTGCTAGAGCATCAGCGGAAACCCAATGACAATCCAGTCGGTTGGTTCATAGAGTATTTGAGCTGGTTGGTAGTAGCGTGGGTACAGCTAGCTCACATGACATGTAATAATGGCGGTGGCCATCGTGTAGCATAGACCTTCACACTACTATGGTGATCAGCATTTGCCAGCTTCTTCGTACGTTGCTTATCACGACCACTATGTTCCCACTTCTAAAGGCTATGAACTTCAGTAACCTGTAAAACAGTACAGCAGCGCTTTAAACAAGATGCAGCACAAAGAATGATTGCTCAAGTTTTTTATGAAAGCTGACCTAGATCAATGAGACAACAAGGAAGAGGCCAAATAGAGTACGTGATATCGTTTGGCCTCGATCGATAACATACGACACAATACGCGAAAACCAAGTCTCGCCAACTAGATACACTACACAAGCAAAAAAGTGAAGCAGGAAGTTGGTGTGGAACTGATAAATTGAATGAGATCAGAAATATATGCTCTCAGAAGACCATAATCCCAACTTAAATAAGGCTATCCCTCGACATAGCAGACGATCAAGTAAACTTGCAAAACACAACACTACCAAAGCTATATTGTACAGGAGACGAGAGTTGAAGTAGCGATATATATCAATAGCCATTTTAAAGTCGTAACCGGTACAGAGTGCGACACTAATCGATATAACGGAATCAGATTTGCATTACTTGTTAACAAACGATCAGCTCTTAGTCGCGAATGTCCATATCTACACACTAATAAGAGTTACCGAACATAGTGTAGTCATACTTATATTGCTCACAAACGAAATACTCGAAAGGAATTTTCTGTACCTCAGGAAAAACCCATGAGTTGAGCGAGTCATTGAACTCTTCCTGCAGGCAAAAATGAAACAACCCTCGTGAGCTAGAAAATACAGTTTCATATTATATTCCTTGACCTAGCGAAAGCCTTAAAACAGTATTATATGTACATCTGAAACCGACGTGATGCAGATATCAGGAGTTTATCAGAGACTTTAAAATAACCTCACAGCAACATGGGGATGGACAGTGAGCAAAGGGTCGAAAATCACTTCATGTATTTATATTTGTAATATCTTCTTGCTGACCCTTTCTGTTCTACATTTTGTGATGTTAATATCTGTATTTTGTTATGGTGTCTATTTTTGTACCTTTATTAGAGTTTCTATGTTTTCTACTGAACTGTATTATGCTGTTTAAACTGATACTTAATTATGGCGGCAGCCATATCGAATTCGACACCTTGGGCGGGGAACTTTGAATCCGGACTGGAAGGGAGCAATTTCGGACTTATACGGAAGCATTCTTCCAGAATTGGAAACACATTGTGTTAAAATTGTTAAAGAACAGTGTAATATTGTTCAGCTAACGATAAATACCCTTTCAATTAATAACAGAACCGTTTCTTACCCAGATAAATTGCTTTCTTGTTGGATTAACTGAGCAAGGCGCGTATTTAGACTTCTACTACTGTTCTTCCGAATTCAGAAACCACTCAGAATCCCTAACACAACATATTAGGAATGCCAAATCATCCCAACCTGAGCATCTTACGGATGCATCGAAACCACTGTCCTCAAGGTAATACTCGAAAAATTGCGCATCAAAAAGTGAATTCTTAGGTTCGTGCATACGTTTTCTGATGAACAGTCGTTGAGATTTTGGATTCTCTCCCAGCCGAGGTGACCGCAGCCCTCTCAGTGGACAGCCTTAAGAAGAGATTTGATGAAAACAAACAAACGGTTTATAATCTCCCTCGACCCGACCATAGATGCCACCTTGACTTGCTGGTCGAGAATTGCCAATTGTGATGACTCAACCCAGCTATATTTGCTGGAACATATGTTCCTGGAGGTTCTAAAATGCCAGGCAGTTCTTTTGGAGAACGATGAGACTAAAAGCAGCTACTCAAGGTCTGACGGCGAAGTCGTAATGCCGACTGAAGAGGGGTGTGACAGCAGTAAGGTGTTCCCCTCAGAAAACTAGCATCTCACAAGGAAGGAAGGGTTAAAAAAGGTCAACCCTAAAATTGTCACACCTAACCCTACCTCATGGATTTCCGTCTCCGGCGGTAAGGGCTGCCCATTTGGGTCTTTTAAGAGCGGAGCTAGCACTCAAAAAACTTTTATAGAAAGGCCGTGTGTGACCGGCCTCAAGCAATTGTCCCCTGGGTGCGTGACCGCACCCAGGCTCTCTAAGACCGACCCTCATCTACCTTCTTTTTCAAGTTCTTCAAAAAACAACCTTCCACGGTATGGGCAGCCATAACAGCAACCGGCTTAGCATGACGTCAAGGAAATTCCGCTTTTTCTCACACTAGTGTTCATAATTGAGTGTGATTGCCTGGTGTTCAATCCTAAACTATTCCATGACTTTCGGTTTACTGATGTTCTGATGTACAGTAGTTAATGTGTCATCGATGTATCGAGCATCTTAATAGCCTCGTTCAGTGGTCCATTTTCTATCTTTGCCAAGACAACATCAGCTAGAATTGGGCCTAAAGGTGAGCACATGGCTATCCTGTCTATTCGTCTGTAATAAGTATTGTTAAAGACGAAATAAACGTTCAGAGTATATCTTGAGGGCTGTCCTTTCAAGCTTTCCTCAGGCAAGCCAATATTTATTTGTTTTTCTGCTATTTCCTTGAATATAAACTCAATGGTCTCTATAAGTTGTACATTGGTTAACAAAGATATAACGCCAAGTGAGATAAGATATTTCATACTGATCTTCTTATTTTCTGCTTTTGCACTTATTCTTACAGCCGATTTGTGCAAAGGCTCCTTACCCTTCATATTTGTCTCTCAGCAACTGAACATTTGCAGGGTTTTCTATTTAATGATTCAAACTAACTTGAGTCTTAAACATATGATCAAATATGCGCTGTAAGTTATTTTCATAACTAATTGTAGTTATGTCATAACTAACCAATCAAATTGTGGTTTAAGCGCCCACCACTTGATCTGATCTGACATGTCTGTAAACTTTCTTTGTTGCAACTGACCTACTAATCGCAGGTCATTATTACCTTATTATATTGATGTGATTCATAGTTTTATTCATTTTCAAGGACACGCTATATCGGTCGGTATGCTTGCTCGTCTTACTCGATAATTGTAATTTCCTTATTTATTGTACCAATTGTTTTTATGTTTAGAAACAGATTAAGTTTGAAACAGAGGTTGATCTTGTTTTGACTATAGCTTTCCCATAGACTCTGTGCTCGCCAATATGGCGTTTCCAGTTCTTGAAGTACACCTGTAGGACAAATTAAATCCTACAGCGACCATGTTGTCAATTGATGCGGTATGATGACGCGAACAATTTCGTCTTTTTCTGACCCTCGTGTGTTTAAATTAGACTTTGTTGATTATACTGTATGGCATCTATCAGCAATTACCTATACTACCCATTGTCTTTTTCCATATATTTCACTTGTTACTTATTCTCGGCTAATTTCGAATGTTTGTTATGTAATCTTTGCCAACAGATATTTTTGCAGTGATTGTCTATTACCTTGTTCACATTATTCGCTGTTTATCTTAAGCTCTATTTTATGCAGACTATTTTTCCCGTAAAATTCTCATCAATCTTTTTCTGTCAGTCTGTCAAATAACTGCGTAAAAGGCATGCGTTGAAATCTATTATTTATTTGCGTTAACGTTCTCACTATGTCAAAACAGCGAGTGAGTTTACTGCAGAAAACTTTAATTTCGATCGCAGACAAATGTATTCACTTCTGGACGGAACAAGCCTCTTCCATGGGTTTAGTTGATCGCCAGAATCCGTTTAACAGATGGAGCTAGTTCATCAACAGAGTAAGTTTGAAGCGAAGAGAGAGCTGATCTAATTTGTGGGTCATTTACGTCTCACATTCACAGTGACGATACCGATACATAGCCGTATCTCAGTTCTAAACACAAGGAGTTCCGATGCATCATTAGTAAACATGTCAGACGGGACATACCTGTGGAGCTCTAGTTACAGTTCCTTAAATGATGAGTCAGTCAAGTTTGGCTCGTAGAAGTTAACTGCTACTCAAGCAAACTGGGAAAGATGGTTCATTTGGGCTTCGAAATAACCTTACAGCATTTGAGAAATAGAAAGTGTACTAAGGGTTAGGACTCAATCAGTCGAAATGTCACGTCGTTAGCATCTTGTCCAAAGCACTACAAACAACTGACATCCTCAATAAAAATCTGATCCACAATTTCTCTTAAGAGCGTTACATCTACCTAATAACCGTGCAGAGAATGGTAACTACTTTAAACCTTATAGCGGTTGCAACCGAGGCTAAGGCGACCCTAAATTTCATGCGAAGACTACTTGGTTAATTCACCACATAGCTGTTCCTAACTATTTTAAACATACGCACGATAACACTTTCAGGTTTAAAATATCATCGAACCGCTCTTCTTGAAAGAGACATAAATCGCTCGGAGAAAGTACAGAAACGAGCAGCTAAATAAATGATATAGTTAAAGAATGAGTCCTACGAAGACAGGCTCCAACAATTGTGACTATTCCCCCCGAATTATGAGAGAACTAGAGGTGATCGAATTGTAGCATACCGCATATTAAATGCACCGAATCATACCTACACGAGTATCTTGTCATGACATCACTACCACGCCATTCAATGTAACCCTCGAGAAATGGAGCATCAAATGGCGAACAACCAGGAACGTGCCCGCTTTTCTCATTAAGAGTTGTCCCCTCCTAGAATCCCCTCCCTACCGATGTGACCACAGCCCTCTCATTCAGTAGCATCAATAAGAGGTTTTATAAACACCTACACACACAGAATATCAACTGCCTCTTGGACCAGCAGTGCCTGATGCATGTTTGGAAACCGGCTTGTTGTTATCATTGTCGTTCCTTCAGACCACTGACTCATTCTATCTCGTATGTTATCTCAGACTCATCTTCTTTGTTTACACATATATCCTTTCACATGATCTAAACTACCAAATTATTAACTTATATTTTGATTTTCTACTCATTGGTATTGGGATTTTATCTTTATAGTTCTCCACATAGCGACCAACTGGTCTCTGGCATTTTAATGTGGTAGTTGCTGGTATCCAGAAACCCTACTGCCATGAGAAAAACTCATTCACTCAAATCACGGAACATAAAAATTCATGAGGAAAGGCCAACTTATTAGTATCAATGCAGTCGGTTGACTAGACTATTATCCATTAGACATTACCAAATACCTGGAACCGTACCGAAACGACTAAGGACGCGAGAAAAAGTCAAGCGATTTTTACAGGCTAGTGTAAAAGATATTGGATAAAGGGATGAAGCTACTAAGGGGAGCATCGATATCGAGGATTTAAAACATATTTATTATCCTAATCTTTCACCACTTAATTTCTGGAATTCACTTTTATATCTGATTTGGCCAATAAACGTAAAAAGTTTACAACCATTGGTCAACACATTGTTAATTTTGTTGTTGGGCAGTGAAAAACGGTTTTTAAACTCAACCACCTGAAGTGGCACGTCATGCATTTCCTGCCTCATATGACGCAAACAACCTATACCCTCAATGGAAGTCCGCTCCCTAATGTCTCCTCAGAACGCGATCTTGGTTTAATAACCACAGAAAGCCTCCACACCAGTCCAAACTATGTAGGGGATGCAGCCAAGACAAATGCGACTCTTCACTTTATGCGAAGACAGCTTGTTGCTATCACCCCACAACGTCATCTCATCATCACAACGTCATTGCTTAAAGGAGACATAAATCTCTTGGATCGAGTGCAGAGAGGGGCAACCGAATAGGTGATAGGGTTGAAGAATAAACCCTACGATGATAGACTCCAGCAGTTGGGATCATTTGCACTGAGCTACAGGAGAACCAGAGGCGACCTGATTATGGCGTACACCATATTAAGCACACCAAACTATCCCAATATGAGCATCTTGCCGAAGCATCACCACCACTCCCCTCGAGGCAATCCTCGGAAGATTATACATCAGAGAGCGAATACTCAGATTCGTGCACACTTTTTCTCATTGCAAATCGTCGCAACTTTGAATGCTCTCCCAGCCGAGGTAGTTACAGCCCCCTCAGTGGACTGCTTTAAGAAGAGACTTGATAATCACGTACTCACATACGGACTATCAACTCCCTCTTGGACAAGCTGTTCATGATGCATATCTTGAGACCTGCTAGTTGTTACCACTGCCATCTCCTCAGATCACTCAATTAATCTATCTCTCATATTATCTCTGTTTCCCCTCCCTTGCTTACACTTCGGTCCTCCCTCACAATCTTCACTACCAATTAACAAACTAAATTCACCTATATATTACTCACTTCTGAAATTTTATTCATATTATCATTAGGATTTTATCCTTATTACCTTTATTACTCTCCACATTGCAACTAACTGATCTCCGGTCTGGTAATGTGATGGCTGCTGGTATCCAGAAACCCTACTGACCTGAAACAAAGGTTTTCATTAAAATCCCGAGACATACAAACTCACAAGCGACTGCCAACTGACTAGAACTAGACAATTGAGTTGCTAGACCTCGATCCATTGGACATCACCGAACACCTGGAACCGTACCGAAAGAACAAGAATCGAGCTCGTGAAAAAGATATTGGATATTGGACTTTGACCTTGAAGTATCAATCTTCCTAAATGCTGTGAATGACATTCAAAGATCCCGGGTTTTAATGCGGCGCCCCAATTCTTAATGTGTTGTCAATTATTCATATTATACCTGTGCACTCAGTAATACAGATGCAATTTGTAGCAATATCTCATCTGTATATTTGCAGCGGATACAAGCTTTTGAGTCAGGGTATGCTAATGTACTCATTTTTGTCGATCAGTACTTATTTTGCCAAACGTTTTCATTAAGATAGGTCACTTCTCTGGAAAATATCGTGTCACCTTATTTTCATCTATGTTATCTTTGTTTTCCTTATTATAGTGAATAAACGAGCATATATATCGCTGAAGTCAGGAATCCTTTTGTGATCACTCATGTTAACTATTGTACAATTTGATGTTGATTTTTGGGGAAATGTAAACATTATATAGTTTTTTTTTATAGTGGTACAAGAATTTAGTTTCCAGACATTCCTCTTAAGTAAGGAAATTTCGGAGGAAATGTTCTGTCATTTATCCGGTGCTGGCGAAAACGACTATTTGATGCATAGTCGCATGTATTCACGCCAAGTTTACCGAAGGTTCTTCCTTGAAACTTCATCTTAGTTCGCTTTTATTTCCCGTTGTCTGGTTGCTAGGACGGTCCTTGGTCGAAAATTATATTTATCTTCTGTTGCTATAAAAATAATATTACACCACCAAAGTATTAGGTGATCCTCTTGTTTTGGACTCCAACGTTCGTAGATCGTTGAGAATTATTGGAAAATATTGATTTTGGCTTGAAATTCTTAATTTTATATTGTAGATTGTGAATTACTTGGTGGCCCAACGAATTTAGTTGACGGCTTGTAAGAGAACTAATCTAGACCTACCTAATTCTCACTACGATGCCAACAGTTTTCAGCTACAAAAAATGTGTTTTCAGATATATGCGACGATTATTTTCTACAGAGAGTATCCAAAATGTTTTATGTAAATCTGAGAGAATTCGGCATGTTAGTCCACAAGCAGTTCACTGGTTCCCGGGGCATATGCGTAAAGGCATGGACATTATTCATTCTAAAATACCACTTGTTGATGTCATTATTGAAGTTCACGACGCAAGGATACCTTTCTCTGGTAGACCTGAGTTTTTTCAAAAGTTTGAGTCGGTAAGGAAACCACAGTCCTCATATAATTTTTTATTCTCTATATTCTGTGAGTTCAGTTCGTCCGTTTCCATCAATAAAAGTAATAAAGTTCTTGTTATTCATATGGGCCTTATTCATTTTGAATATTAAAAAACTTTGTTTTATGATTCAGTAGTACATTGTTATCCGAAGGAATTCTGTTGATGGCGTAAAAATCAAGTTGCCAACTTCAGTGACTTACTACCAGGAATGAGCACAAGCACAGTCTTCTAACAGTCGTGTAAAAAGTATTTAATAATAGTAACAGTGTGAAGCACCTCCCAAACTCACGGTGCTTATATCCATTTGGTCCAAAGTAAGATAATTACTTAGTATGTGATTACATTATAGGATTCCATCCTATTTTGGCCATCGTCAAAATTCGCTTTTGTAACGCCTTGTATTTGGTTATGTTTTGTACCTTAAGCTAGGTGGGTTAATTACAGAGCTTCTATTATTCTAGACAGCATTTCCAGTGTATAATCAGACCTGTGGATTAACCAAAATGTTCGCTTCTACGTGAGGAAAACGCTAGCGGTATCCTCAAAATGGTAATCGATGGCTAGAGACCTTGGATGACATGACTCGAAATCGTTAGCAATGGCTCAGGTGCATCCATTCTTTGTGTCCTCTCAAAACTTAGTCTTCTGAATTCTTCATCATCTGGTTTTCTTCATTTTAAATGTATTTCACTGGATTATACTTCTCGAATAATATCTTCAAACCTCATTCTCTCCGATTACTTCTAATACTTCTACTTCCTCTACTACTATGGTACTTGAATGGACAATCGCATCTCTGTGCTGATGCACAAACGTACAAAGTTACACGTTGTAACTGACTTACTAGCTATGTGCAGCTTCGCAATCAATATACTGTTTCTTAGATGTCCTCTTAGCCATGACGCTTTTCGATCTAACTTTTCAGAAATCAATCTCATTTAAAAGCCAAGTTATAGATTCAGAGTACACAACAGTCTTGTTTAGTAAAGACATTGACAAAATGCAATCCTTTGACTGCTCTAGTGATATGTTTCTCCCACTAGAAATAAATTGTTGTTTCAACATTGCTCTCTATCAACTCATGAACTGATGACAAAGTTGAGCCCATTAATTATTTTTCTTGGGAGTCTCATCAGCTTTCATGGCTTTGCATCTGACATAATATTGTGATGGATTTGGAAGTATGATTCAGTGAGATAAATTCAGAGTGTGATGAAGAATTCAGAAGATTAGGATTTGAGAAAGCACAACGAGTGAATGCATCTGCTACACTGCGAACGATTTTAAGCCGTCATTCAAAGTCTCTAACCATCGATCACTATTGTCTCACGGACCCCAAACAAGTAGTCTGCATCTACTAACATGACCCACTTCACTTGTCAGTGACTTCATGGATTTCTGCCATGGTCTGGCCGCCCCTAGCTTTCGTCCGACCTATTCCTACACCACAAAACATAGCTCGACGAGGCAGTCGGTGAATGGGCATTCGTAACACATGTCCCAACCACCTCAACTGATAAAGTTTCAATAATTCATCTATTGATTTGCTATCCCTGCCTAGTACTTGTTTCCTTACAACAGTATTTCTTACTAGGTTGTCCCAGGATACACGAGCAATGCTTCGAAGACATCTAAGATCAAATACCAGTAACCTACGAATATCTTCTACTCTGATTGGCTATTTTTTGCATCCATGTAGTATGCTGGAGCGAATCGCTGCGCAGTAGACTCGACCTTTAGTTAGCAAACGGATATCTCGCCTACGCCATAAGTGACGCAGGTTGGCAAACGCCAACTGAGCCTTCTGTATCCGTGCTGAGATTTCGTCAGTCACTAGACCATCAGCACTGATCAGACTCCCAAGGTAAGTGAAGCGGTCTACACGTTTGACTACTTCACTCCCTATCACTAGCTCAAGTGCCGATGAAACCCAATCCTGAAGCACCATTTCGCATCTCGAGGGAGAAAACCGCATCCCGAACATGCTTGCATTGTTACTTAGGGTAGTCATAAGACTCAGCATTTTGTCAGCATCTGCACCGTATAGAACTCTGTCATCGGCATATTCTAAGTCAATAAGCGAGCCTCCTGGTAGAAGGTCTACTCCTGAAAATTCAGGCGAAGATAATGTTATATCTAGTAGCATGTCTATGACAAAGTTGAACAAAAATGGAGACAGTGGACATCCCTGACGGACACCACTTGAATTAAAGAAGTCCGATGACAGTTCTCAATAAGCTCTCACTCGACCAATAGTGTTTTCTCGTAGAAAGCCTGTATCAGGTTAATGTACTTCTTTGGTACACCTTTCAACGACAGACACCACCACAGAACCTCACGATCGAAAGAGTCAAATGCCGCCTGAAGGTCTGGAAATGTTATTATTGTGGGTCGTCGGAATGAGTGTCTGTGTTCTAGGACCTGACGTAGTGTGAATTTCTGGTGTATACAACCACGTGCAGGTCGGAACCCAGTCTGATTTTCTGGAGTCTGCTCTTCACTAACTCTATTTTGGCATCTAAGTATTATCGAGGCTAACAATTTGGATAGTGTATTAGTTAAACTGATTGCTCTGTAATTATCACAAGAGGACTTTTTTCCTCATAAATTGAAGGAGTTTTTGAGCATCCATCAGTTCGATAGGTGCTACTGAAATCCACCGCTTCTCCCTTATGGTTTACCTTACTCGCAGATGTTACTGCTGTTTCCACAGCTTTCTGATTATCATTTCAAGCTCTCTCGGGATGGGCATAACTTACCACATGGCCGCCTAACTCTTTTTCTAATTGTCCCTGAAATATATTCTCAGCCTTGTTATCATTAAGTAGAACCCGAAGAGGTTTTCTTGCGGTGTCTTTCCTACGTCCGGTAAGCTTCAAACAAATACGCGCTCGCACTAGAGCATGGTCTGAATCTAAACAAGTGCTCCAGAATAAGTTGTAGTCTTCACTCGAGCCCCTGCACTGGTGGCTGCTAGCGATGTGATCTAGTTGGGTCCAGCGTTGAATCGACTTTGGGAGATCGCTAAGTCAAGAGATGTTTTTCTTTTTGCTTAAAGTTAGTGTTTGCTAGAAATAGGCGATTATCTGAGCATAGCTGCAGTAGGTGGTCGCCATTATCTGATTTTTGAGACATGACACCATAAGATCCACCCAGATGTCTTTTACTTAGTCTACCTACGTGGGCACTGAAGTCACCAGCCATGTTTTTTTTCTCGTTAGCGTTTTGTATCGAGTTAGTTTTTTGTGGTATGGGGTCGCCAATCACAAGCCCAACCCTCCTCTTTTATCCGGCAGTAGCCCGTGAGGGTCTGTAGGCTAAATTATTCAGAAAACTTGCTTGGCCTTTGCCAAATTACGTTATTTACAAAGTAAGCAATATTTCCGTCTGCCAACCGAAAGGAGTGTATCCTGTGCGGTCGCCATCCTTTTATAACTTTATAGCTATGAAACATGGTATATATATTTAGAAGGTCTGTTGAAGCTTCACGTTCTGATCATAGTTTGGGTACTGGTGCGACGAAAAGCGCCTAAATCGGGTTGATTAATACGGAGGATTCATGTAGAAGAGTTGGAAGACATTGATCCCAAACCTATGGTGCACATGGATTCTAAGATCCTGAGAATACAAAGGCGTATGAACCTGTTGTTAGTCATCCGGTGTTGCTTTATTGCCTTGTGGCTTCCTAAGAAAACCATCGGCTCTGGTTCGGTCAACCGGATAGTATCCCAGCCCACTCAAAAATTTAATAATTTGTGTGGCGCATAAATATCCAGGTTCCCCCTTGTACCACTAATTGTGTGTTTAAATAAATTAACGAAATTCTCGATCTTTAATATTCCTCATTGTCACTGCTGCTACTACATGATTTCAATATTTTTTGCTATTCTTCATCTTGCTGACTGAACCATATCGTGATAATGTGGTTTGGCTACATGACTCAGCTCACATCTTTACCAGACAATGTGTTGATAATGATTAATGACTAACTCTCATCTAATCCTTACAACTTAAATAACAACACAGCCAAGTGTGTCTACGTGAGCTACAAATCTCTATCATTTAAAAGTGCTTGCTTGTCTGATTTAATCTACTTGATTAATATATTTTAAAATGGTTTTTCTGTACGAAAGGTTTTGCATTGTGCTCTGTCTTTCGTATTACTGAGGAATATTTTTCGAATATGTAGATAAAAACACTAACAATGCATAGTTCATTTTTAAGTTCAAACACTATCCCTAGGCAGAATTCATCTAAAAATGAACTTCATTCTCCAAACATATTCACTAGATTTTTGAAAATATTTTATTTAAAACTGATCAAATATTTCGGTAGAAATTCCGCTTCTAACCAAAATTATTCCTTATACAGTTTTCGGAATATCACTCATCCTAATCATAAATTTATACTGTTCATTGTGCTTTGCGTGTCTAACTTTAAAATTTAATTACAACATTTTTATGTAGAATCGTCCTACAATTTTATTAATGAACAAAATTGACTTGGCCGAACCAATAAGGGATCGACAAGTTCATACAAATCTGATTATTGAAAAATCACGTATTATTAACCGTGGTCCACTTGAAATATACTATACCCAGCTCAATGCGCCTGAAAAGCAAAAGCAAATTTTGAAACGACTGATGTCCAGGTTGGTACATTAGTGTTTGTGTTTTGATATCATTAAACTTCACAAAGCGATAGTTTTGGAGTGATATATGGTGAAATTTCAATTTTAAGAATAATGTTGGTTTCATGAAACAGTTTATTTTTATTCTATTTAATTTTGATGAATTACTTCACTGCTGTTTTTAAATTCTAGTTTGCCTCGTTTGGCCACTACCTCGGGACACCCTATCGGTTCAGCTATAACAGTCATGGTCTTAGGTATACCAAACAGTGGCAAAAGTACTTTAATTAATGCTCTACGAGGCATAGGCCACGGAGGTCCTGGGGGTGCAGCAAGAGTTGGACGTACAGCAGGTCAAACACGTTCTGTCGGCCAACCGATTATTTTGTATAGAGGGAACTCAAGTCATATATCAGGTGATAACGACGACCGTTTGGTGGGTTTCACTGACCACACAATTCAGGTGCTTGATACACCTGGTATCTTAGAGCCTCAAGCTCGAACTTTAAGTGAAAGACTTAGCCTTTGCGTTTGTGGAGCTGTGGATTACTCATTTGTTGAACAAGGTAATAATTCATTTTCTATTACATAGTAGCTTGTAGTTTATTTCACTTACATTTTGTTCTCTCTTGCATATAGTTGTCGTTTAGTCATGAATAATTTAGAGTTTGGTTAAGAATACTGGTTAAGAACCAATGATCTAGATGTCCTAAGAAAATAAATCAACCTTTCTAATATCACACCTGTTCCCAAGCAATTACTGGTGGAAAAACCATGAATAAAATTGTTATGGCTGTTCATATTCTTCAATCAGTCAGCTACAAAATAGAAGAGTACGAGAAACCATAACATTTTTATCCATAGTTTTTCCACTAGTAATTGCTTAGGAACAGTTGTGATTTTACAATGGTTGACTTAATGTTTTAAGACATCTAGATAATTGGTTCAAATTGTCATGAAACTAATCTGGATGTGTCAGATGAACTATAACACAGTCTCATAGCACTGTGGTTATTTGATTACATGCCGGTCGGTGATACTTAATTTCTAGTCGATGAGTTATGTATGTTTTGACATAGGATGTTGTTAACTCACTACTGTAGTTAAAACTGACATTTTTGATAATTTTCAGGGTTTATAGAACGATTATCTTGACGGATATTAGCGTGAGGAACTTGCGTTTGATCAAAAAGGATGATGTGGCGTAAAGGTGTCCTGATTAATAAATGACTAGTGAAGCGTTATGTATTCCTAGTTGTATATACAATATGTTAGATAGTTAATCAACTGGAATTTCATATCTTCACTCACTATTACACATTTAATTCAGTATATTATGTGATCAGAGTATAGGATGTCCAACCTTTAGTTTGTTTTATAAGTAAATCTGTTTTCGGGATACATTAGTGCAAGTATTACCCAAGTGATTCAGTTATATTTCAAGTTACACTTCAATTTTATTTGCTTGTTGCTGACTGGTGTATCATAGCTGATTATGCTACTCTTATTCATTTGAGCATTGCCTAATAAATACGATAAATTCATTTCCTTCTCTAAGATTTGGGTTTAGTCACTTCACCTTGTTGATGTGATAATTCAGTTGTATGTATAAAATAGGATAGATTTAAACAATAAAAAACATTTTCCTATCTTATGTTCGCTAGCTACTGCTTATTTGCCTCAACTAACTTTCTGTCGAATTCTTATTCATTTGCCTTTAATTTTCTAGACTTACTGGTAGACTATTTATTATTTTGGTGGAATCATCGTCAACGTACAGAATACGTTTCCCTTTTTGGTTTAACTGGTCCTACTACAGATGTTAACGAATTATTGATCAGTGTGTGCGTTAAAAACAATTTTTTCATGACTATGCTCAAACCAAGTTGGTTACCTAATGAAGTAGAGAATTCGGATGAATTGTGTAAAAATAATGTTACTCAGAAAATGACTATCCCCGATATTAGGCGTGCTGCTTCTTATATTCTTAATCTGTTCAATAAAGGATATTTCGGTCCAACCACTTTCTTACCTGAAGATGAAAAGTTAGCAGATAATTTTTTCCATCTTATTAAAAATCGTTGAAGTGATTTTTACTGAACAAATACTTTTGTAAATTGTACACAACAAACTATTTGTTAATAAATCGTTTATTGATAGCTTCTCCGAATTTTTCTTTAACAGATTGTATGTTGTCTGAACGTCTTAAAATTCTATTGTAACTGTCAGTGCTATTAACTAATGGATCAGTAAAATTCCACCAGTTTTAATGATTAACAATTGTCGTTAAGAGTTCATATCATTGTTTTGCTCAAATAGATTTATGGTAGATTCTAGTAATTTCCTTATTTTGAGAAATTGATAAATATATCTACATTTCAGTTATTTTGCTTTTTTTTGTAGCAACAAAAATAAAAACTTAAAAATTAGACCATCCAGCTTATTGAAAGTAACATTATCGAAATCCTCTTCATCAACTACAAATCTTCATTCACTCCAATGATTAAATGAACTTGTGTCTCAGTCGAAGTTTGATTGATGTCGATATTTATTAAAGACTCGATCCGAGCACTGAGTTACAGGTTTGAAGCATTTTTCTTTTACCAGGCCTTATCATCCGGTCGACATCTGTAGCTTTCATAAAATATATGTGATTTTCAATTCAATGCATAAGTTATTTCATGTTCATATTTTTATTAAAATATGTTGTCACCCTACGTCCTCACTCTTGTGTGTGGTGCATTCATTCCAGCACAAAATCCGAGGTGACAAGTTCAAATAGCGTTCAAATATGTTAAGGCTATGCCAATATTCGTATTCTGAATTCAAAAACGTTTTACCGATTTCAAAGTGTAGATTTTTGTTTATTGAATTTTAGATGAATCATCCATCAGAACCTATTGAAGGAGACATTTTGGATAAATCAAATAATATTGATTTAGATCATCCTCCAGAAGATTGGTCTGGTTGGTTTTCTTTTATGTCTTTAAAGGTTAGTATAGATCATTAACTTTTGTTTGTTTTTATTCATACAACATTGGTAAGTTGTTTTCCGAAAATAATGTATTTTGAATCTAACTAATTTAGCTTTTGTGTGAAATAGATCTTCATCTGTTCATCTTACCTTCTATTTTTCATCGAATCGTTTATGTCTTTAAGCATTCCTCCGAAAATGAATTGTATTATGAGTAGTTGCGGGTTTGAGAGCGGATGTCACTTCCCGGCTGCCAACACCATGGAATGGTGTTGCGTAAGAAACCTGCAAAGGAAATTAGATTAGCGTTGCTCTAGAGACCTAGGGCGTGACCCGCAGAGCCCAAGGGAAAACTGCCTGAGGCCGGTCACGCACAGACATTTTATTGGCTAGTTTTTAAAGTGTTTGTTTAAAAGGCCTTACCGCCGGGGACGGAAACCCGTGAGGTAAGCCGAGGTGCAACATTTTTAGGGTCGATATTTTCTAACCCTTCCTTCCTTGTGAGAAGGCAGCACCGCTGCAGATGCTGGTTGTGCGAGGGAAACACCTTACTGCTGTCATACCCCTCTACAGTCAGCAGTAGAACTTCGTCCCCAAACCTTGAGCGGCTGCTTTTAGTCCCACCGTTCTCCAGTCGACCTACTTGTCATAGTTGAAGCCACTGGAATATATGTTCCGTCCAATATAGCTCGGTTGGGTCATCACGATAGGCAAGCCCGATCACTACGTCAATGTAGTAGCTAAAGTCGTTTACACATATTGTTATCATCAAGTCCTATTATCTCTAAAAATTATTCTTCCTTCGTCTGTCAATAGAAAATGGGGTAGTGACAGTTAGTTTCTTAACGCTTAAAGGGTTAATTATTTGAAATTAAGTTGTTTCAGTTAATAATTTAGAATTTTTGAATATGTGTGTTGTTTTACTGGGGTTAACATTCAGTGTTAGTCACTCAATGTGAAATTTTCTGCTATGATTTACAAAGTGATATTTGATATTTACAGACAAAGGTGTATTTCTAGTATGAAATCAGCTAATCAGATTTAGTTAGTTGATAGTTGGGGGTAATCTTTAATTGTTGACTTTTCGGACGAAATCAATTAAGTGGAGTTTTTGTATAATCTCTTTGCACTGATGCCTTAATTGCATACCAGTAATTAAGTATAAACATGGGACTGTTCATTTTGTTTTACCTCAGATTCTTCCTCTAAATGCTTCAGCGTACCAGTAGTTATTGTTTTCCATTAGCAGACTTGAACTCGTCTCTAGAATCTTCAAGCAACCCTTTCATATAGAGTGAGTATTATAGAGTAGTAACCTAATTATTAGGATCCTATCTCTTAAAGCTGTAAATAAATCATCATTGACTAATATCTTGCTGTCAGTATCTTGCAAAACCCCAATAAAGGGGTCAAATAGCCTGTCTCACCTTGTTTTCCATTGTGTGTAACACTACAATCTGGTTTTTCTGAAGAATTTATTACTTTCCAACTAACTTGCCCGACAATTCATGTATAACGTAACAAAAATGCTTACAAGTACACGTTCGGATTGAATCATTCGATCACAATGTAGGTTCCATATCCACACTTATCTTCTGAATTCCTCTTGGCCGTTTTTTCTCATTTTTTCAGTTGATTCCTCTCGGGTATACATCTCGAATGATGTATCCGATTATTAATCTTTTTGATTACTGCTACTACTTCTAATACCTCTGCTACTATGAGATTTGAGTTGACATTTGCCTCTCTGTGCTAATGTGGTATGGCAACTGATGTACATACGTACTAAGTTCTACGTTGTGACTGACTGACTGACGACTAACTCCACATCCACTTACAAGTATGCATGAAAAGCACATTACATATAGGTCGTTCTATCATTTTCATTTGCACATTCAACTAAATCCTCACGTTTGCGACAATAACTGAGAGTCGTATCTTAAATTAAGGAACTCATATAGTAGATGTTAATGTAAATGATATGACTTTGTGTTGTGATTATATATTGTCTGAAGTAGGTTTAATAATATATATATCGCTATAGCTCCCTACCATCCATCCTATTTTTATTGGGATCAATAAACCGAAAATTTTTATTTAAAATAAAATCTGATTAGTAAATTTATCTAATAGCAACCAATAAACTTTTTCTACGTTTGAGCGATTATGATTAATTCTCCCCGAAATCGGATCTCAAGTATGAAGTCATTATTAGAGCTACATTATCCAAAAAATTTGACTATTATTTATGCTTTTCATATGTTAAATCTATGTTCATTTTCAAGAAATTGGATTTAATTACGTAGTGATCTTTTAGTTGATTAGGTCATATGACTACCAACTGAATGTACATTTGTAATTTTTGTGATTATTCTTGCTGCATTATTGTACATGTTGTTGTTTTTGTTTTGTCGTCTGTTTTTCAGTTCATTTTATATGTAGCTAAGAATCCTTGGGAATTTCTTACATCAGTACTAATTATCGTTACACCTCTCATGTTAATTTGTGCGTATTGTTCATATAAGTTGGCTAAAGAGCTTAAACGTCAAGAACTCGATCAGAAGATGAAAGCTAAACGTACAGCTGCCATTAATAAATCAAGGAAGCAAGTCAAAGTGGATTAAGTAATTAAATCTAAGAAGTACTTTTTTTTAATTGTAACAGTTATACAACTTCATTTTTAACTCATATTGAATTCCTCTAAATCAAGAGAACTTTTTTATGGTTCAGCTTCAAATAATCAATGTTTTGATTTTCGGTTTTTAAAAACCTGAATTTGAGTTGATTCATTTTTTTAAAAATCTGTATAATAACATATATTTAGATTTAGTTGGGGATTTCGTTTGTTTTTCTCTCTCCCTTTGCGTATTAGTGACAATTGAATTTATCAGCTTAATTATTTACAAGAAATTGTCAAATTATCCTTCTTGTGTTACAGTCAAACCAACAATCAGATCAATTGTTATTGATTGCAGTTTGTCTAAACGTCTTTGTCATTGCGATTAATGGTTCGCAAAGTGATTAGCATGAAATCTTGTTTTAGTGAAAGTTATCTCGTAAAATTTTCAGTATTAATTTGATAAATTTATTTGGATTATAGTTTATTTCTTTAAATTGATCAGTCGATGAGTTGTTTCACTGACAACTTCGTTATATTTATTGACAAGTATAGGTGTGTAGGCTTGAATTAATTTATTGATTCTAACTAATGTTTATAGCAGTCAAGTCCTTTATTATGTGAACCGATGCAGTTTTTAGGGTTTACCGTACGTTATGATTGACGTATGAATCTGTGTGCCTGTCTCCGCTATTACAAAGTTTCCTACGTGTTATCTGCTTGTTTATAAACTCTCTTACGAATATATTTACTGCTCCGAAGCAGTTGAAACACACTTCGTTAATCTCCAATTTTTTCATTGTTCTCTAAACAGATTAATGTGCTATTATTACTTGCGTGGTATTCTGTGCATATTTGTCATAGAAAATACTTCAATGCAAATTCAATCAGTAAAGATTGTAATCAGTATTCTACAAATACTAACTATGTATGACTTCAAAGTTTTATTTCGGCTAAATAAAATCAGACGATCGTCATCTCTCCTTAATAAGTTAAGGCATTAGAGAATTCTGAAATATCTTCTTATTCATATAGTATTTGCACATTAATTCTCCTCATTATAGACTAGCCAGTTTCGTTTTATCATTCAAAACAACAGTATATTGAACCGAGTATCTATTCTTGTATTCGGAATTCAAGTTTTATGATACCAAATTGGACTGACTATTGATTGAGTCATCCATAATACTTTTTTTGATATGGTGGAGAAAATTTTTAGCTCAAGTGGATGATTGTGGTGGTGTTTCCTTCTCTGAGCTGGTTGTTTTGGTTGTGGAGCTTTCATTGTTCTTGTGAACAACATCATCAGCACAAACTTCAGATAGAAGTGAAGCATTCGAATTTCTCCACGTTTGACCTGTAGCTTGTTCTGTTAACCTCGATCTTGACTGGTTGTTGTTACAATCGAAACAAACGTGCAAACAACGACAGGTTTAAGGTCAACAACAATCAATCAAGATCGAGGTTAACAGAACAAGACACAGGTCTAACGTGGAGAAATTCGAATGCTTCACTTCTATCTGAAGTTTGTGCTGATGATGTTGTTCAGAGGAGCAATGAAAGCTCCACAACCAAAACAACCAGCTCAGAGAACGAAACACCACCACTTTTTTCATAAAAATAATACTTTGGTAGATGCAGCTGGATAAGATTTATTTTTACCACTCTTTCACTTACCTTTCTTTTTTTCCTTCAACTTTCTAGATATGGGATAATTTTATTAATCTGATAAAAGTTGTTGCATCAACTCTCAGTTCCAAACTATTCCAATGTATGTGATCTTCGCCTCTTTTTTTTATTAAGAAAAATTACTTCAACTGTGTAATAGACTGTTATCATTTTAACTTTTGTAAATACGATGAAATTGTTTCTTGAGATCATTGCTAAACAAAGTATTCACGTATGTATTGCAATCATCGTATTGTTCAATTCAATTTATAATGTTTAATATTGTCAATTTTTTAGACGTAGCTTTTTGTAATTTATTTTTTGCCTAAGAATTTTTTACACTTTTTCGATTGTCCTTGGGTATTCTATTTTACTGACGATCAAAAAATTTGGTCGACTTAAATAATTACACGTCACCATAATGAATAACTATTCAATATTCACTTCTCATTTAGTGATAATTTAGAAATTTGATAATTGTATGATAAGAATGCAATGAATGTCATCTATGAGGATTACTGATAGTTGATACAAATGCTCTAATAAGGTTTTCAAGTATCAGAATAATATGTGGTGGGTGGCTGCGCTCAGGACTCATGAAAGTTTCCAGCTTACAATAGTGTCATATTTAATACGATGTGGCGAATTAGTACTCGTGATATTATTTTAGTTTCAAATCAACGATTCAAGGATTTATTTAGTCTCATGAGATTATATATACTGGACTTGTTAGAATATCTCTCAGACAAGTATAAGTTAATGTGAACAGTACAAAACTGGGTGAATGGTTTTGTATCGTATACTGAAGTTCATAAAAGGATTGTTATGAATTAACTTTCAGACAACCAACAGTGTGATAACGATGTTTAAAAAAATGTTTTTTTCTGTCATCTTATTATTAATTTTAAAATCGGTACAAATATTCTTAACCAGTAGCAGTTACATATATTACAAAGAAATCAAATTATTTTATAGAAAATCTTTCAAGCTACAGCGCCACACAGAAATATTAGTAGTGTATGCTTGTGATCGGAAAAAATGGAACAACAACAAGATAGAGGGAAAAACAAATATGATATCGATGTTAGTTACAAAAACTGATTATCAAAGTACTCAGGATTCCCATCGTGTGTTATTCCCCTTGGTTACCGTTCAGGAAATTTATTAGTACAACACAAACTCCTGATTATTAGTAAGTAGTATAGCGTCACTTCAGAACAAACAAAGGATATGACGTTCAAGGCTAAAAAGACAAGTAATTCATTGAAGGCTATTAAAAACGATGCACTCTCAAAGAACTTATTCGAAATGATAAAAAGCAGGACCGTATCACTGAAACTTTGGCATACCCTAAGTACATATAAACGGTCTGTTGTTCCGACCAGTCTTAGTTGTGACCAATTCTGTACAGTAAAATGGCCAGAACATATATGTAAGAAGATTTGCGTTTAATCAAACATCCCGTCTGCGTTCGAGAATTCATTTTTACTAGACGTGTATTTGACTTGCAATGGGGTCACTGTGAAATGTACGAAGAGGAGATTCCCTAATTTTACTGCTACCAGTCCAGCAACGCGTTCTACCAACAGTATCCTATTAATGGAATTACAATTAGGTCCATTTTCCAGCAAAACTGATGAATGGGGACTCATGAAGAATTAAATCGTCAAACCCACTATCAGACTTGGAAAAGTGTATGTTAAGCCAGTGTTCTCGTGAATTTTGTGTCCTTAATTTTAAGTTTCTAAGTAATTGCAAACAAAACTCATTAGGATGTTTAACAAGTAGATTCTAATCAACATCCGAAATAGTGGGTAGTTGAGGCTTGCTAATGAATTTTGGCTGCTTCCCATCTATGTAAACACTCAACTTTCAGCAACTGGATTGGAGTTATAAACTTCGTTCCGTTTATAATTCAGAACACAAATTCCTACAGCAAAACATCGCGCGTCGAGGCAGTCGGTGGTTGGGCATACTTAAAACATCTAACCAACTTAACTGACAAAGGTTCATTAATTGATCTACCATCCTTACTTACTACCTGTTTCCTGACACTAGCATTGCTTACTCGAAAAGTGACGCAAGTTCGCAAAAGCCAGTCAAGCATCCCATGTTTGTACCGACGTTTCGTCAGACAACAGACCACCATGACTGATGCTACTCCCAGGATTAGTGAAGCTGTCGACGCGCTCAACTACATCACTAGTTCATCTTCAGACTATCCAATCCTCAAGCGACATTTTGAGTGGGGGAATTCTATGCAATTTCATGTATTGTTGCTTAAGGTGGTCAGAAGACTGCATTTTGCCGGAGCCTTCACCAAACAGCTGTAGCATCCACCGAACTGATGTATGCCCGAAAACTCATCCCACCTGGCTCTGAACATGCTGAAGAACGAAGTCAGCTTAAGCGCAGGCTGATAAAAAGCCTACGTAACGACCGCGAACAGTGGTGGGTGGCAAAAGCGATGGAAAAGGCAGCGGCGATAGGCAACACTAGACAACTTTTCCGCCTTATCAAATAAACCGGTATTAGGAACCCGAATGTGAGTGAGACTATCTCGGAAATGGATGGTCTTATTATCCATTCTCAATCTAGGAGATTGGACCGATGGGCAGAACACTTTAGGGATCAGTTCAACTGGTTTTCAGCCAAGCTTCGGTTGCCCACGGTCCCCAGTCATCCTGAATGGCAAATCGATTTAAGTCCTCCCAGTCTACATGAAGTTGAGGAAGCTATAGGAAATCTGAAGCGAAGTAGAGCAGCAGGTCTTGATAGACTGACCCCTGAGATATTTAAGGATGGTGGTCCAGTTTTAGCAGCTAGGTTGACTGAGATCTTAGTTAGAATCTGGGAACAGGACGTAATCCCATCTGACTGGTCTCAGTCGCTAATTGTCCCAATGTATAAGAAAGGACAAGTCTTTTTGTGACAATCACAGATGAATAAGTTTAACTAATATAGTTTCTAAATTGTTAGCCTCGATTATACTTAGACGTCTAACTAGAGCTCGTGAAGAGCAGACTCGAGAAAACCAGGCTGGTTTTCGACCTGGACGTGGTTGTATAGACCACATCTTCACACTACGACAGATCCTGGAACACAGACACACATTTAGGCGTCCGACAATAGTTGTTTTCCTGGACCTAAAAGCGGCATTTGACTCTGTTGATCGTGAGGTTCTGTGGCAGTGTGTCATTGAAAGGTGTACCAGAGAAGTACATTAACCTTATACAAGCTTTCTACTCGAACACCACTGGTCGAGTGAGAGCTTATGGCGAACTGTCACCGGAATTCTTCACTTCAAGTGGTGTCCGTCAGGGATGTCCACTGTCTCCATTTTTGTTTAATTTTATCACAGACATGCTCCTAGAAATAACCTTATCCTCGTCTGAATTTTCAGGAGTAGACCTTTTGCCAGGTGGCTCGCTTATTGACTTAGAATATGCCGATGACATAGTCCTACTTGGTGAAGACACCGACAAAATGCAGAGTCTTCTGACTACCCTAAGCAACAATGCAAGCATGTTCGGGATGCGGTTCTCACCTCGAAACGCAAAAGGTTGCTTCAGGACTGGGTTTCATCGGCACCTGAACTAGTGATAGGGAGTGAAGTACTCGGACGTAGAGACCGCTTCACTTACCTTGGGAGTCTGATCAGTGCTGATGGTCTAGTGACTGACGAAATCTCACCACGGATACAGAAGGCTTGATTGGCTTTTACCAACCTGAGTCACATATGGCGCAGGCGAGATATCCGTTTGCTGTCTAAAGGACGAGTGTACTGTGCAGCAGTTCGCTACGGATGCGAGACTTGGCCGTTAAGAGTAGAGGACTTTCGTAGGTTCATAATCTTCGATATCTCCGAAGCATTGCTCGTGTACCATGGGACAACCGAGTGAGCAATGCTATCGTTAGGAAACGAGTTCTAGGTAGGGACGGCAAATCCATAGATGAAGTAGTGAAACCACCGGCTGCCGCGACGAGCTATGTTTTGCAGTGTAGGAGTAGATTGGAAGAAGGCTAGGGGCGGCCAAATCAAAACATGACAGAAATCCATGAAGTCACTGACAAGTGGACTGAGTCATGTTGGTAGATGTAGGCTACCTGGTTGGGGTCCGCGAGACGATAGTCACCGATGGTTAGAGACATTGAATGACATAGCTCAGAATCGTTTGCAATGGCGCAGGTGCATCCACTCTTTGTGTTCTATGAAATTTTAAGCTTCTGCATTCCTCATAATTTCTACCTTTCTCCTTCTAAATTTATCTTACTGAATTATACTTCTCGAATCATATCTTCGCTCCCTAATCTTCTGCATTACTGCTAATACTTCTCTTATTGCTATCACTGTTGGATTTAAACTGACAGTTGCGTCTCTGTGCTGATGGGGCATGGCAACCTGAACTGATGTACTTACGTACGAAGTTCTGCGTTGTATCTGTCTGTCTGTAATTTATGTGTGTATTTTCCTACTTCGCTAGGTGTAATTATGGTATTTTTTTTCATTTAGTTCGATGTTCATCCAACAAAATTGGTATTTTTGAAAAAAATAACTAATCTATGTTTAGAGACCCTGAATGACATGGCTCAAAATCGTTCGCAATGGCACAGGTGCATTCATTCTTTGTGTTTTCTGGAATTCTAATCTACTGAATTTCTCACGACCGTTTTTTTTTGTGTTTTTTAACTTATTCCTCTGGGGTATGCTTCTCGAATGATATAATCGTTCACTGATCTTTTTAATTCTTCTACTACCTCTACTACTATGGTATTTGAATTGACAGTTGGGTCTCCGCTAATGTGGAATGGCAATTTGAACTGATGTACGCACGCACAAAGTTCTACGTTGTAACTGACAGACTGATGGTTAGAGACCTTGAATGACATGGCTCAAAATCGTTTGCACTGGCGCTGGTGCATCCACTCTTTGTGTTCTCTCTCACCGAATTATATTTCTTGAATAACATCTTCGAACCCTAATCTTTCCGATCACTGCTCGTACTTCTACTACCTCTAGTACTTATGGGATTTGAATTGATAAATGCGTCTCTATGTTAATGTTGTATGGCAACCTGAACTTATGTACTCATGTACGAAGTTCTACGATGTAGCTGACTGACTTCACCAGACAGAAGTATGTCATGGGTGTATTCTATGTAAATCACCGAGTAAACGTTCAACTCCTTAAAAGTCAGATGACGAAAGTGTCGTATCTAAAAGCACGTCAATAGTAGAGTTGAATAACAATGGAGAAAGTGGAAAACCCTGACGATAACCACTTGAAGTAACAGAGAATACCTTCTCGCTCCTAAAAAATACACTGTTTGTAGTATGCTGAATATTAGATCGTGGGAAATACACTTCTATCCTAACTTCAATGATAACTTATTCTTAGATGAAACTGTTTTTAATGAGTCCTTTCCAATAGTTCTGTAGCTGATTTTATTCGATGATAAAGTGTTCAAGTTAACCCAATAAACAGTTTAATAACAATTTAGTTATCATCAATGATTTTGTTAAAATTAGGTGCAGGAACTTTTAGATGCACATTGTTATATACACATATATATAAAATGATATCCAAGGTAGTAGGTATTTGTTAATCAGCGGTTAGCAAACTAAACTTATGATCAATATATGTGATGCTCTGTGATTCCTTTGGGTTGCTTATAAACTGAATATATGCAATAGTGTACCTAATTCTTTTCTAAATAGCTAAACTAAAGTATATAATATCCTGCCTCGACAAAATTACGTAGGCAATTTGTGAATAAGTTGTAGGAAATATGAAGTCTGAATTTACGGTTTTTACGATCAGTTCCACATAGCAAAATTTCAATCAAGACCATAGAAAATTACACAAATTAATTAAGTATTTCTAGCATGATTAAATAAAATATGGAATGGTCATCCATTCAGATAAATCATTGAAATCAAAGGAGTTTTAATCTTAATAAAGATTGACCAATCACTGATTAGAATCATTCAGGGAACGGATAAGGAAGTGATCCACCTTCTACATATATTGATTTCAATTGACTGTAAGCCAATAACGTGTCGATTGAATTTTCCCGACCGAATCCAGACAATTTATAACCTCCAAATGGAATACCAGGTGGGTAAACATTGTAACTGTTGATGTATACAGAACCACATTGTAGTTGTGAGGCTATACGATGAGCAGTCGCCAAATTTTGTGTAAATACACCTCCAGCAAGACCGAATTCACTTGAATTAAAAGAAAAATCAACACTTATTAAATGAGAGCTGATAAAACATTGCTAAAACTCCCTTCTTCTTTTTACAGAGAAATAGATTTCTACACAGTGTCCCAACATACTTGATCTTCTGAAAAAATCATACTAAGACCGATAGTGAAAATGTAAAAATATTTTATTGTTGTTAAACTGATGAGTATCAGGGAAAATAACTGAATTCAAAACTGCTCTAAATATATTTAAATAACGATAGCCTTTATCAAGAATTGACATTGTTAACTGGAGAAACGTTGGGAATCAATGAACATTAGTTTGGTATTTTGTATTGAAATGGTGGGGAAGATTTACAGCTCAGGTGGATTGTTTTTGGTGAAGTAAGCTCTGAAGATGTCCAAAATGTCAATGAAAGCTCTACAATTATACCATTTAACCTAGAAAACAAAACATCACTAAAAGGTGTTTTTACATTTCAAACCCTTTAGTAGTGCGTAATCGACGTTTAGTTCTCTTGAAATGAAGGTGAAATTGTTTTGTATGACAGATCAGTTTCAAAATGAAAAAAGACATATTCACTTTCGCGGAACGTCAATAATATAGGAGTTCAATGGAACAGCGTTGATTCGTGTAAATAATCCAGTCTTTATAGTAAAACTTCTGATATTCTTTATCTTCTAGCTTCTTTCGGGATTCAAGTTTAGAAAATTATGCAAATCGGCTAACGAGTTTTAAGTATTTAGTATAGTGTAATTTACTAAAGACTGGAATATCAAATTTTTCCATACCACAATTAAATTCAATTGGTGGCTCACTTCAGTGTTAAAAAATATTAATGGGGAGCGCCAATAATCAGTTCAGTCAGTGACAATGTAGAACTTGATAGGTAAATTCAAGTTGCCATACCATATTAGCACGGAGAGATGGAGTTGTCGATTCAAATTCCAGAGTAGTTGAGGTTCTAAGTGATTTATCTTCTACGGAATGCCGATAAGCTGAATATGTAAAACTTGAATATTCTATATTAATATTTTGTTATTTCCTGTGGTAAATTAGTTACTACAATTAGCATTATTCAGCTGCGAAACATTGAAATTGCCGAATAAAAGTTCAAATAAAAAAATGATAATAATTGATTAGCTGACATTAGAAACAATGACAAACCTATCATTTGAACGTTGAATAACTTCTTCTTCTGAATTAAATTCTAATAAAGTAATAACTGGACCAAATATTTCTTCTTTCACAACTTTCATATTATCATGACAATTAGATAAAATACATGGTGTAATAAAATTATCATTATTTAAATAATTAACTGGAAATTCTGGTTTTTCTCCACCAAACAATAAAGTGGCTCCTTCAGAAATAGCTGATTGTACATAATTGTATACTTTTTGTCTATGTTCAGGAGAAATTAAAGCACCCATTGAAACTTTTGGATTAAAAGGATCACCAACTAATATTTGTTTAACTGATTCTATAAGTTTTTGTGTGAATAATGTTGCAATAGATCTGATATATTTTGACAATAAAAAAAGAGATTAGAAAAGAAATTGACCAATATGAGTTTAAATTGATTATCTATTGAAATGATTGAATTATCTACCTGAGTTTTTGGCTATGGTCTTGACCAAGTAATTAATCCTTATTATTAACGGAAGTATTCACTCTGTTCTGTGCAATATGCATTACGTTCACATTATCATTACAATTCACCAATATAATGTACACATTATTAAATATATGAATGATCAATGTACAAAAGTTGTCTGATAAAAATAACTCTAGCATGTAAATACTATCTAGGAGTTTCAATTTAAAACATTTCTCTATTTTTGGGCAGAGTTTCTGGAGGTTTGTGTTTTTACACATTTGAAATCATCAATCAATCGTGGATGCGCAATGCTGATGAGTCCCATACCAGGACGAAACGGCCGTCCAGTGCTTCCAGGTTTCTGATGGTGGTCCAACAATGATTGATTGATGATTTCTCTATTATTAAGAATTTAAGATATTGATTTGAAGGAGCAAACTAGGAAGGAAATTCTAAATATCATTGAAAACTAATCAAAAGACATTTTCACATTCACAAAAGATCTTAGATCATCTTGATTTACTTACTTATGAACAAATACACGAGCAGCATTAGAACACACTTGTCCTTGAGTATAAAAATTAGCCATTAAAGTGCCTTTAACAGCTTCGTCTAAATTAGCATCTGACATAATGATCAATGGTGATTTTCCTCCAAGTTCAAGCGTACTTGGTATAATGCGTTCAGCAGCACATTGAAGTACACACCGACCGCCTGCAACACTTCCTGAAAATAATAAAAATTAAATTGTTTAGAAGATTATCAAAATTCAATACGAATGGCGATTATTACAGCAAACAATTACACATGACTGGAAGATGTGAAAAGTTCTACATGTCTGAGCAGTATGATTGATAAATAAAGGGGATCTGATACATATATGCAGACACGGATTGGTAGAGCGAAGGGAGCATTTCTACGACTGAAGAACATTTGGAACTCAAAAAAAAACTATTAACCAACACCAAAGTCACCACTTTCAATAAAAGCGTCAAGACAGTTCTATTGTATAGGGCTGAAACTTAGAGAACTAGCAAAACCATTTTTCAAAAGACACGTGTATTTAGACACAGTTGTATATACAAGATTGTAAGGATTCGTTGGCCAGAAACCATCAGTAACATCCTACTATGGGAGAGAACAAACCAGATTCAAGTAGACAGAGAATTCGAGAAAAGCGCTGGAGGTGAACAGGATACATATCGCAGAAATTGCCCAACTGCGTAATGAAGCAAACCCTAACTTGAAATCCACAAGGCAAAACCAAAACAGATAGGCCAACAAATACATTGCTCCGAAGATCGAAGGCAGACGTCAAAAGAATGAATAGCGATTGGGTAGAACTAGGAAGGATAGCCCAGAATAGAGCAGAGATTACTTATCAGTGGCGCAAGTCAACTAGATAAGACCCGAATGAGCCCAATGTATTTTGGTGATTAAACAATCTACCAAGGCAAAAAAGTGTGCTTCGTTTATAGCTGGATGCATACTAATAGATAACATAACATTCTGGACCGAGCATTAACCTAATTAAAGAGAGAGAAAATATTTTATTTATGACGATACGATCAATAGTGCTAACAAATCAGAATCATTAGTTATTCATTAAAAACCAAATAAATATAACACATAAGTACAATTTTTATACTGACAATAAAATGAAACTCATAAAAACTAGTGTATATTTAAAATGTAAAAAGAAAATTACTATTTAGAAAAAAAAGGGAGATGTTACTCAACCTGTAAATGATACTTTTCTAACTAATGTATGATTTACTAGTGCTTGACCGATTTCAACACCTCCTAAAACAACTTGATAAAGATTGTCAGGACATCCAGCAAGTTTATACAATTCGTATAAACGTATAGCTGTTAATGGAGTTAAAGGAGATGGTTTAAATATGAAGGAATTTCCAGCGGCCAATGCAGGAACCGATTTCCATACAGCCATCTGAATTTCAAATTTTTAAAAGGAAAATTCAATATAAATAAGTCAAATCATTCATAAATCCCAATGAATGAATACAAATTAAAATTAATTTCACATGAATAGTTCCAGATTGAAATCACCTTCCAAAAACAAGTTAGTACTGAGTCATTAGATTTAAACGTTTTCATCTTATCAGTGCTAACAGTGTATAAGTGACGACACTTGGCAAACGTTAATTATCTATCAAACATTCGTTCTGTGCGCCTTACACTTAATGTCTTTCACAAAAACTTGTTCGATTTCCAATAAATATACCAGTATTAGGTATGGTCATATTTGACAACTATGACATTAGTTAAACTATATACACAGTACACATCACACATAATATATGCCTTAATATTATTATACATTTTCTGTATGCAACAAACAATAAATATTTAAGCCTATTAAAAATCATATTCCAAGATATAATAAATATGTAGTATTTGCTCATATAATATTCATAAATTCAAAATTATTCGACATCAACATGCCAACATTATTTTCAATCGAACAATACATTTTTATAATATAAACATACATTAACCGTTAAATAGGTATTAGCAACTATTCAATGATTAGCACAGGTCTAAGTACATTAATTGTCTGAACGTTAATTAAAACTATACTAGCACAGAAGTGCTTGTATTTGTTTTAAAACTGAAAGCGATAGTTATGCATGACAATACTTTAGTAATTATTAATAAAAACTAGTTCAATTAAACTACAAAAAGGTACAAACATATAGAAGAAGAAACATTTAATTATAAATAGCAGTCATTACTTGAAAAGGAAAATTCCATGCTCCTATACCAGCACAAAGTCCGAATGGTTCTCTCCTAGTATAATAAAAACTATGAAAAAAAGCAAGAAAATAAAATAAACCGAACAGTAGAACATCACACTTTTAAATTGTTAACAAAAGAAAACTAACATTGAATTACTGTAATGAAACGTAGACATGTGTAGATTGAGGATTTTTAGCAAGTTCAATGAGAAGTTGACACTCAATGTACAACCTAGACACTATTGGACAGAATAGAATATAGCAAAATAAAGTGATCATTCTTTTACAAAGTTTTCAATCGATATCATTAGACGCAATGATTAATAATGATATATGAAAGTATAATCAAAACTGGCAAATAATTTTGCCTAAACAGAAAAAAAATTGGGATAAAACGAAGATGGTAATATCACATTATAATCTGAATAATTTAAACTTTTCAATATAGTCTATCAGAATTAGGATTAGTTGTTTATTGATCAGAGTAGTTGTTCCCTGATATAAGGAACTATCGCTTATTAATAGTACTGAGTACTTCTCTAACAATTTGCTCAATAAACTGAAGTTGATTTTAATGTTTAATTAATTAATCCCTATAAGTGACTTCGACTCCGCCTGGAGCCGTTTTTAGGTTATGACCGGTCCCAAGCCCGGACAAAGGAGGAAGGTTTGGCATGGGGGTAGCGACCCGATCCGGCAGGAAACTGACTCTCTAAAAAGACGCTAAGCAGGAAGAATAATCCACACCAGTTAAAATCTGACCTGTGAGTTGGAAGGTCTTCATTGAAAGGAGTTATCGTGCCTCATGATGAAAGCCGAGTTTCTTCGGAAATCACGAGGACTATGGCCCTTCTGACAACCGGAGCAACTATAGCTACATGGAATGTTCGTACATTATGGGAGACTGAGATAGTTAGATTTATTCTAAAAAATTTCTAATAGATTATTAAAGAAAGATTAATGTATGAAAAACAAGATTGTAGATTATTTATCATTAATACTATTTGTTTTTTTGTTACAAAATTATAGTGAAAGTAGGTGTAATCTATGTACCGTTAAACAAAACTTTCATATCTCAATTTTAGCTAAGAAACAAAATATCACTAAGTTTGGATACAATAATTTACGCTTTACAGAAAAGAATGAACTGGAAAAGAAGGTCCAGGACAGAATGGGTTAGAGAATGGTGGTCGGTAAACTATACTTCACAAGGGGTAACAGGCGTAAGTCAGTAACTAAGTAAGTAATGTATGAATTCAGTTACTTTTCAAATAAATCAGAGTAGTTTATTTGGAATTTTTTTATTGGTCAACCCATTACGTAAAAATACTTGGAAAATACGTGCTTCAGGAAAACCTATGTTCACATTAACTAAATTCTGTTGAGATGAAGCAGATCATCAGTTTAAACAAAAACTCATTCCGGAAATGAATCCAGTGTAGGAACATTTACTTTGCACACAGTTACTACTTTTGGACATCATTATTGCTACAGGTTTGTTACTGTTGTAAGGTGGTAATTGGAGACAGTTCACAGGAAATCTTGAGCCTAGCTTTCGTGCTGTCTGGTACTTGTACTTGTAATCCTGAAGATGACGACTAATTCTCTCGAGTGGATTTGACCTTATGTCACCCAGTTTCGTGGTCAGAGACGTTACCACTGAACTAGCCAGGCCATGACCGCCCTCCTGTAGGAGTGAAATTTATTTACAATATGTTGGTCACTGGGTAGTGATCTGACATACATGACATTGGTCTCTTACCGTTAATTTCTCTTGTTATGAATAAGCCTAAGTAACTTGAACCACTAAATTCTTGCATTATGTCTCATACAACTTGTACTTCACAATCAAATTTATAATCCCCACATCAAACAAAAAAATTAATACGCTACAATATAAACTTTTAAATCACCTGCTAGGATTTGGTGGGACTGGAGAATGAGTCCCAACAAAACTTGGGATAAAACCCGCAAATAGCTCAAATGAATCTGCACAAGCCTCTATATCTGCCCGAGCTTCCCAAAGTGGTTTCCCAGTATCTAGTGTCTCTAACTCAGCAAGCCAGTTTGTTTCAGCACGAACAAGATCACCGACTTTTCTGAGAATCTGAAATATGTTATTAATACATGAAAAATAACCTTGTTTAGTGGATTGCGAGATGATAAAAATTACTACAAACAAGCATTAGGATATACCATAAAAGCACAACACGCAGTAGTAAAATCAAATTGTAATTATGGAGATAGTGACAAATCCCTTTATACTGAAAAATAAATGATAACAAAGTAATTTATGACGAAACTAGCATATTACAGTGATTCTAGTAGAGTTGATCAATATCAATAATAAAACACTAACGAAGGGATGATTATTCATTGACTTCATTTTTTAGACCACAGGTTTTAATCCTTGTAAATTTCCAATTAATCACGAGCTCTAGTTACGCGTCTAAGTATTATCGAGGCCACTATATAAGTTAGACTGATTCCTTTGTGAGTGTCATAAGAGGACTATTGTTCTTTCTTATAAATTTGGATAATCAGTGATTGAGACCAGTCAAATGGGATTACGCCCAGTTTCCAGATTCTACCTAAGATTTCAACCCATCTAAATATTAAAACTAGACCACTATTTTTAAAAATTGCTGGGGTAAGCTTCTCAGGACCTGCTGCCTCACCTCGCTTTAGATTACCTACAGCCTTTTCAACTTCATAAAGATTCAGAGGACATGCATCATCTTGCCATCCAGGTTGACTCGGAATGGCGGTTAACAAAAGTGTGGCTGAAGGTCATTTGAACCGCTCCTTCAAATATTTTCCCATCGATCCAATCCCCTGGATTAAGTATGAATAATAAGCCCAACTTTTTCACAAGTAATCTGACTTACAGTCGGATTCCTAATACTGAGATAAGAGATGTTTTTCCTTATGCTTAAAGTTATTGTTTGCTAGATATAGGTTGCTATCTGAGCATCACCGTAGTGGGCAGTCGCCGTTATCAGATCTTTGAGCCGTGACACCATAAGATCCACTCAGGTGTCTTTCCTTTGCACCTAGTCTACCTACTTGAGCATTGAAGTCACCAGACATTATCACTATATCAAAGCGCCTTACTTTTTGGAGAAGGTCCGACAGTTTTCAGTAAAACCCATCTTTTATGTCATCTGAACTGCAGTCAGACAGTGGGAGCGTAGGCGGAGACAATGAAGAAGCAACAGAGAGTGTCCCTATCTTTCCGAATCCTCACCGTCCCGTTCAGTCGAACAGCGCACAAGCGACTATCTACTGGGATCCAGTCTAAAAGAGCTAGTTATGCTTTAGGACTCAACGCTATACCTACACCAGCGAGGCCTTGGGAAGCAACAGTAGGGCTTCCAGATAAACGAAAAGTAAACCGAGTTGGTTCTTTATTTGGACAAGGTAAAATCAAATAACAATTTTGCTCGGATCCTGTATGCGCATTTCCGAGATGCAACATACATCGATGGCACAGGATTTCAGAGTCCTATCTAAGGAAGCTTGTTGCCCTATTTGACACAAGGTTCGAACATTAAAAGCTACAAAATGTAGTTTAGAGAGTGGTTTCAAGAGACCAGGAATAACGTTTCGTGAGCTCAAAATGCTGGCATCAGTGGCACGGGTGACAATGGAACGAATGCAGGGTTGGTCGTGGAAACACGAAAGTTATTAGGAGGTGTAGGAAGGATATGATTATGACGATTTGGTCTCGTGTGCTGTTACGGGTATGAGAGTGGTTGTCACATCGCGGCTGCCCAAACAGTGGAAGGGTACTTCTTGAGGAACCTGAAAAGGAAATCATAGTATCTTCGGTCTTAAAGACCTGGAATCTTGAGCGCAGAGCCCAAGGGACAACTGCTTGAGGCCGGTCACGCACAGACTTTTTATGGGTAGTTTTTAAAGTGCTAGCTCCGCTCTTGTTTAAAAGGCCTTACCGCCGGAGACGGAAATCCGTGGGGTGAGTTGAGGTGCGACATTTTTAAGGTCGACCTTTTCTAACCACTTCTTTCCTTGTGAGAACGTAGCACCGATGCAGATGCTGGTTGTTCGAGAGAAGCACCTTACTGTTGTCACACTTCTCTACAGTCAGCAGTACGACTTCGCCCTCAGACCTTGGGAAATATCAAAAACTTCTATATATCTTGGTCATGAATAAATTTAGTCTTCTCAGGATCTAACCATAAAAATGTTTTGTTGTCATTAAAACTTATTTTTAAAAAATAGTGTTCGAAGGAAAATAACTTACTTTGGCACGTTCTAGCAATGGTAAATCAATCCACTGTTTTTGTGCTTTACAAGCATTATTAGCCATTTCATCAAGTTGTGAATGTGTTGTTTGCTTGTAATGAACTAAAGGTAACCAAGTGGACGGATCGTAACTTGTATAATCGTAATTGTAACTAGAATCGTTCACATCACCTGCAGCAAATTTCAATGGAAGTTGACTGTGAACTAACCAATTTCGAAGTCTATCAATAGCTTGTTTACGGCGCTCTTGAGACGATTCAGAATTCATTTGAAATCGTTGACATTTAACCACTGACGTAGAAAATTGAGTAGAATAATTGAATCTGATAGAAGTAGTTTGAAACCTCAAAATTTTGTAAATCGATATCTAAAATAGAATCAACAGAAAATCAACGAATGGCATCTTCATTTATTTAGTCTTATATAAAGTAAGATATTAGAACTTGAGTAAGATGCAGTGATACTAACCAGATGTTTAAACACAAAAATAGAGATCTCTTTAACCAATAAGGCATCGATCATGGCCCTTTTTTCAAGTCAAATACACATATGATCGGTTAAACAAGAAAATGAATCGAACAGAGAATCACTTGCTAAAATCAGTATCAAATTACTGTTATTCGAAAAAAGACAAAATTCAAACAAACAACTTGTTAACTAAACCTCAAGCCAAAACTAACAAATTATGGACAACAACGATTCTTGAAGATCTAGTTACAATAGAAAAAGATTAGAAGACATTTGCACAAGAAATATCATTAAATATATATTTTTAAAAAATACTAAAGTAAGTGGTAAAAATAGAATAATTTTTCCTGTATTATTCAACATATAGTGAACTAATCAAAATCTAGATATTATTGCATGATAATGAATCAACACTAATTCAACTCGTCTTATCTACTATTACTCGAAAAAAAGTAGTGTAATCCAAGCTAAAAAACGAAATTATAGAAATCAGCTCAGTAGTATAATTAGATTAATCCGGAAGCATTATGTTTTGTATTTTTATCAGTTATGGATAATAAGTGTTGACTGGCCTGTTTCTAGAATTTTTTAATTTTTTGATCACCTAGTATGAATTTGTATGATGACTTATCATTAGTATGATTAATATAGATATTAAACATAAAATTTATATTTATGAGTTCATCAAGAGCATGTCTACTGTATACGGATGATGATAGAAGTTAACATATCCAGTTAATAATTACATACATATGGGTAGCTTATGACGATACTCTCTTGTAGTTTAGTAGCAGGTTTTCTATAAATTCATGCATGACTCACAGTAATACAAATTTATTTAAGTAACTGAAAGATAGTGAACAAATATTTCGATGAAAACATCTACAGCACAGTTTAATAAATGCTAAATCTCTTAAAATATCATCAAGGCTTTAGTTTTGGTCAATCAAGGTTATAACTGGTCGACCTTAAACCCCGGAAAAACTGATGTTACCTAATAACTGACCATTATAAGCACATTAGGGTCAGAGTAATATTTTATTTTATAATAACGAATACTATAATTGACTGTTCAAAAATCCACACAACAGATCTTTTGTCGACCAGAAGACAAGCAACCAGACATATGTAAAGCAGCTAGAGTGAATAAATAGAAGTGCGAAATGCTCTAAAACTGACATTCCTATAATAAGAGCATTGTAAAACTAATCCAGAAAAGTAAATGTTATAAAACGGAAGTAACCTCTAATTCCAAAAGCCGGTGTAGATTATTAGTCTAATGATTTATTTTTTCTCATTAAGCCGAATTCCAGTTGACTTGGTGAGCTATATTCCTACACCACAAAACATAGCTCGACGAGGCAGTCGGTGGTTGGACATTCGTAACACATGTCCTAACCAGCTCAAATAATGAAGTTTCAATACTTCATCTATTGATTTGCCGTCCCTACCTAGAACTCGTTTCCTAACGATAGCACTGTTCACTCGGTTGTCCCATGGTACACCAGCAATGCTTCGGAGACATCGATGATCGAAGACTATTAACCTACGAAAGTCCTCTACTCTTAACGGCCAAGTCTCGCATCCGTACAGTAGGACGGAGCGAACTGCCGCACAGTACACTCGTCCTTTAGTCAGCAAACGGATATCTCCCCTGCGCCATATGTGACGCAGGTTGGCAAAAGCCAACTGAGCCTTCTGTATCCTTGCTGAGATTTCGTCAGTCACCAGGCCATCAGCACTGATGAGACTCCCCAGATAAGTGAAGCGGTCAACACGCTCAATTACTTCACTCCCTATCACTAGTTCAGGTGCCGATACAAGCCAATCTTGAAGCAACATTTCGCATTTCGACGGAAAGAATCGCATTCCGAACATTCTTGCATTGTTGCTTACGGTGGTGAAAAGACACGATAGTTTCCACAGAATGCCAACACATCTCTAACTGTTTACGTGACTACTGGATGTAAACATAGAGATCAAAATACTCTCGAGTACCTAATACTAGTTATGACTTCTATTGGTTTATTAATTAATGGCTGAGTTTTTAATACCTATTTTTCTAATGTTTTGGAAAGTGAGATCAGTATTCTGACAAAATTTACAGCCAATTAAATTTGTGACCGAATTTCAGGTAGAAAATTAACATTCTATCAGTCCTCTCCATTTTTCAAACATTTCATGAGTTGGTATACTGCAAGGTGAGTGACGCAAAGAATAGACACTTAGCCCTCGTCTGGGAAGTCTGCAACTATTTACGCATCTACATGGAGATCAAAAGACTTGACTAACACTGGAATTAACAAGTTTTGTGCTTAAGATATGACTTCGGTTAATGCGTGTTAGTGTAAGCCGTTGAAGCGAAAAATAAATATGAAACTAACAAATATATCTAAAATACACCAGTACACTTTACGATATATCGGTAATTTTTAGTACCCTCTTAGCCTGATGGGATATATTTATTATCACGTCGCCCTTTGATTGATTTCGAACAGTGATGTCGACGGTAATAGTTTAATCAGACTTTTATTTTACCTTATAGCTATATTGTTCATAAAATGGTAATTAGGCTTTCCATTATCTAAACAATAAGGGGGTACTTTTGTTGAAGTAAATATTTACTGACTGAAAACTATAAGTCTTCCGTTTATTTACCCAAAAATATAAGTTGAATAGATTGGTAGCCACTCAAGATCATAGACAGATTAAGACATGATAAAACTAGGTATTAGGTAGGCTATTAACTGAAAACTAAAAAAGTTTTAAAACTTGAAGCCTATGAAAATGATTTACTTATTATCTGTAGCGTTACTTTAAAACTTCAAATAAATAAAATATTTGTATTTTAGGACGAGATAAATAAATTCGTGACAAGCAATCAAATCGATATAAGTTTATCAATATACCATGGTTCTAAATGTATACGAAAAATGGAAAATAGAAAAAAAGTTTATATTTGTAAATCTATCAAAAGTGTAAACAATAACGTTTTTCGAGTAAATTAATATTGACAAGAATCGTTTAAATAGTTCGCATTATTCACCAACCAAATTATTAATTCCTCATTCTAGTTACTATAAATAAACAAATTAGTTGATAATTTTAGAAAAAACGATAGTAAATCTTCTATCACCCAATAAAAACATTTCGAAAAATTTCGTAACATAATATTTAACTCGATTTAATATTAGCCTATTAAAGAGTCTGAGAATTAGTTTATAGCTGTTATGTTGTATTCTTCGAATTCCCTGAGATACTTTCTTCTATAGAACAATTTTCAATGGGAAAAAGATAAATGATTGTTTAGTTAAGGTGGCCGAATGGCTAGCTTTTTTTAACACAACTCAAATTTTCAAATTCTTAGTGCCATTTTCATAGATGGCTTGACTAATTAAAATTTTTGACTGGTTGGCTATCAAAGGGTATAAGGTGCAAATGTAAATAGAATTAAGTCCAGGCAAATCATCAAACCGTGGAAACAGGTATTCCTGAACTTGATTTGAAGATATACTACAAGTACAAAGCAGGTAACTAGAACTGATACTGACTGGGAAATCGCAAGCATTTTTTTAGACTTTCTAAACTGTATTTGAAAAGAATTTATTTGGTCAAAAAAAATTAATGTCAATTCCTATGTAACTGAAAAGACGAATGAAAATTAGAACAAGTATATCGCATCAAATACTTTATTGTTTTTCATTGAAAATATCGAGAAGTAGAAACTGTACACAGCAATTGGAAAGTTATTTTGTTAATATTTACATTATCCAATTCAAAAATGAGACAAAGATTATTGTTATTCAGTTTTTTTTCGTCAATATACAAACAACAAGTTAAGAATTTCCAACTCTAATACTATTTTAATAATTCAATTAGTAGTCTACCATTCAGCAGCCAAACGACTCAGTTCCAATGGATTGTAATCAGACAAAAATATTAATTCAGCTTGACCCTCAGGTGTAAAGGCAGCAGGATTTGTGAGCCAATTATTCTCTGCATAAAATCTTAATAAGGCATTAGTTTCTGTTGGGGTGTAGTTTTCAACGAGAACAGGAATGAACGGATCCATACATTCGAAACCGGATTTTCCCAAAAGGTAACTAGGTATTTTTTGATTTAAGAAAAAGAAACAACATTTTGGAAATGTTTTGTGAATAAGATATATCATTATAATACTTTTACTAGCTCTGAATATAACTGATACGTGAAAAATTACAGCGAGAACACTAACAAACTGTTTTTGTTCTTAATGTTTTGTCTAACTGCATTATTAATTGAATAAAGAGTACTTCTGCCATTTTGTACTTTTGAGTAGTTTTAGAATGATTCCATTCTACATCAATGCAAAGAACAAACAGAAGGATCTCAGAACACGTAGACCATTTCAGTCTCTTTGTATAATACTGACGAGTCAAAGTCGACAAGACAATGGTTAGGAAACCATAAACAACTTCGAAGTGTTTTATTTTAGGTATATGAAATTTTAATGTTGTATATTATGTTTCCTGGTGTTTTAACCACGGTCAGTTAGATGACAGTGAATATAACTAAAAGTCGGAGGCGAACAGAGCAACCTATACCAGTGTGTTTATAAAAAACGGAACAAGAATGGTAACGTATGACATTCTTCACAAAACCTGCTTTATTGGCATCAATCTCAGTTTAAAACTCGTCATAAGCCCCGACATAAATATAAATAAATTGCTTCTAGAGACAACTTCCTACAGATTTACCTCTGAATACAAACGCCAGAGTAAAACTTAAAAAATAAGGGTAAAGACAATTTGTAAAGATTGTACTATTTTCGCAGCTGAAACCATGAACTGATTTTAGATAGGCCACCATTGAAAACCTGAAGCACTAGACAGCCCTTCACTCACTAGGCCAGACTACAGATTGGTCGGAGTTAGACATTAACAATATAGGGTGCAGGATACAGTGATCTAGAGGTTAGGCGCTCGCGAGCAAGAGTGAAGGTCCTGGGTTAGATTCCTGCATGAGGGGTCGTGGATGCTCACTGCAGAGGAGTCTCATGCCAAAAAGAAACAGCCGGCTGTTGTTTCAAAATTTACAGGTGTTGTTTGGCTAAGACCAGTTCATGATTTCAACGGTGAAAACAAACAAAGTATGGATTGTGTAGATCAAATACAACTGCGCTCCAAAACATGAAGGGTTTAAGTGGCTAAAGCACATCTTTTCTACTAGTGAAAGAAATTGATAAGACGCCCGCGTGGTTTCGTTTTACATGAGGCCTTGAGAACTATACAATCTGGCTGAGAATTTACTTGTTGTACAGTGCTAGACTGGACATTTTTTGAGCTCAGTTTCTATCCCTGTATGTGTTTTGGGAAGGTAATGACTTGTAGTTAAAGAGGGTTCTTCTTATTCAGCTAGTAATACGGTTGAATTTCTTATAAGATGGGTACAGATGTAACCGGATCGGTTGTTTTGTGACTTCCATATTTATTCCCGAAACTTTATCTGATAAGTAACTAACTTATGGTCATAACAACATGAACTAGCATTTGCTAATACAAGTTTTTATCCTAACATAATACTTCTTATAGTCTTATAATTATTTGTTTGAGATTTAGGTATTAGTAGTGCAAACGATAGGTTGTCTCGACACTCAATACAGAATATCGTTGATCGTCAGAAAATTGAGATTGTACTAATTAATTTCAAGTTTATGAACCAGAATTTTTGTGAAGCCCTATGATGCGTTTAACCGTAAACGACAAATTGATAAAATGACATTGTTATGCAATGTTTAGTTCATGTTTATTTGTTAGCTCCGTCGACTTATGTGTTACCTTTTTGATGCCTGAGCTCTAAAAACGAGTCCAAATGTAGATGGGGATAAGGGGTAAAATTCCATACACAAAACATTGATGCAAATGGATCTAATCAATGTCCTTAATAATTTTAAGCATATAATTTACATCTATTTGGTATCTAATTAACTGTCTTCTTACTTTACTGCACTCGAATACTAAATCAACCTTATTACTACTTGCAATCTAATTTAATACAATTCTAACTGTTTTATATTTGAAATAAATAAGGTGATCAAAATATTTGTCTGGTTAAGAATGACATGTTTCACATCAAAAACTTTCTGATTAAATAGTAATATAATCTGTAGAACAAGTCACCTATTATTACTTAGTTAAAATAAATACGGCAGTATCACAAGCCCATATGCTCAGCCAAGTGCATTAGTTTGTCTCGCAAGTGAGCTAATAATAATTATACTGATATAAAGTTGGTGGTTGTAGCTAAGAAAGAAAGAATTTGCCATCATTCGGACCTCTTATAAGCAGAAACTAGGATGAAAACAATTTTCAAAGTGATCATATTTTTAGAAACTCAGTTAGAAGGTTGTATGAGTAATTCTCCAAATGTGGATCTTACAACGATAAAAATGAAAATAAGAAATAGACAAAAAGTAATAAAAGTTTATTTATATACCCAGGAGTGTATTGTTCTCTGTCCGTAGGCCAAGCTGCTCGAATATTTGTAGAGGTAATTATGACACCATGACGCCAATCTCCCCTCAATGCACGTTTTAAATGATGCACAATTGCCAATCGATCGGGAGTAACACGAGCAGAAACAGTTTTATCCTTTAATAAAGTTCCTCGACACCACATAAAATTGACACCATCAACGATAAATAAACAAGGAGGGCCATCGGGAGTGGATGATAGGGTACGCATCTGAAAATAAATGATTCCGATGTAAATAAAGTGAAATGTACAATGAAAATCTAAAAGTAAGAACTTAGTTGGTGACATAAAGAGAATAATGATGCGGTTCAAAAACATTTTGAGTTACCTGCATTTAGTACTAGGAGATTACTGAGGACAAGAAATGAGATTTATAGACTTGGCCAACAGCTCAATTGTTGGCCATGAAATTGAAGGTGAAGCAATGAACCGTAGACTATGAAATTATCTATAACATCAAGGATTAAGCATCTTACTAGGTGGTTTGTAACAGACAAATACTCTGAAAATAGCTTATTCGAAAATGGAATGAATTTAAAAACCCTCAGATCTCTCAGGTGAAAATGAGCGTAATTTTTTAAACAGACTTAGTAGATTTCATTTATTAATGTTGTTCAACAGACGATAAACCACGACCATATTCCAATGTAATTTATTTTACTCTATACAATATAGCCATAAGTGTGAGGGAATCATAACCTGAATAAGCTAAGAAATGCTATCGTGAGTAGGGGAATACAATTTAAACACCAATACGTTTCAGTAAAGGTAACAACCAGCAATGTTACAAGAGTCAGCCAGGGACTAAGAAAACATACACAGATAAGACATGCATTTTTTATAAGTGGGAATTCACACAAAGCCATGAATATAGATTATAACAGCAACAACAACCTAATTATCATGAAACGGAAGAAATGAACCTTCGTATGCAGGAGTATAAGGGAATAGTGCTCTGATCGTTGAATCGGTTGCAACGATTCTATAAACATCAGCGAAAATTATTAACCACATAGGGAACTGAATTTTAAGCAACAGTGAATAAACTATGTTCGTAATCGTATTCTATCTTAGAAAATATATTACATATATAAAGTCCAAAAGAACGACATTAAGTTTTTGCATTCAAAAACATTAATCAGTAGAGTAATTGAAGATAGTTACGAATCCTACTTCCGTATAAATAAAGTTTAGATATATCTGTCAAACTTTTGAAAATAAAATAATTACACCAAAACGACGAAAAACGTAACGCATATATGCATCGGTTCAATTTACTGAACTTTGCACAAGCACTGTGAGAAAACAACAAGAAACAGGACAAGAGTAAAAATAATAGCAGTAAAAACGAAAAAGAACTGAAAGAAAAGAAAGCAATGTAGTCAATATAGAAGGAGACTAATAATATAATAATACAGAAGAATTAACATTTCGCATATTGACTTATTTCCAAGTTAAATATGTGAATATCCTAGAAGAACATGAAAACAGAATTTTGTTCAAAAGCGAAAATATATTATGCAATACTTACTTTGGAAATATAAACTAGTTGAGTAAGACTTAGAAGTAAGAATTGAGATATTAGAAATAAAGTTATGGAGAAATCTTACTTTATAATAACATGAAAACGAGGTCACCAGGGCGAAACAAGATAGGTAACCGTATTTTTCGAATATATATATTTGATTTAAATCTTCTTACTACAACACCCTTAGTAACGCGTAAAAAAATGTGAATTTTTTTCTTTTATGGATTATTTTAAAAGATTTTTAAGATCATGCCCTTTGTCGAGCAAACGAACCGTTTCAAACCAGTCCATTGGGTCTCAAGTTTTGTTGAATATGTTCGGAGATGCAGACACTAACCCTTATTTTTGTTCTAACGATATACGTACCTTAAGACGTACATGATAATGGCCATTCGCCATGACTAGAAAGAAGGAAACGAAATATTCCACGGTTGAGAAAAAGCTTGTCTTTCCAAGACTTCAAGAATGATGAAATCTGTGGGAAATCGACGTGTATACTACCGGGAATTTGTTTGTTGTAAGTTATATGTAAAGTTGTGCAAGCACATTACTAGCCACGCCAATTTCGAAAATCGTAAATAAAATATGTCAGTTATATGCTTTCACTGATGAAAGTGATGGCCAGTTATCGATCCAGTGTGTCAATTATTGATAAAAAATGCTCAAAACAAGTCAATGGCAGTGACAGTGGTGACAGTTGGTTAATTGACTAAATAATTCGAACATTAATTACCAATTGATCATAAGTTAGTCATTTTGAACATGTTGCATTTTTACCCTCATACGAAAAAGCAGACCTGTATGACTGCACCTTTATTACATAGTTTATTTTCAATATAGTTTTCAGTCATTCAAGTAAAACATGCGCTATGATCACATAGATTAATGATAAGTGTAGAAAAAACTAAACAAAATACCTCTCTTAATAAAATTCCAATGCAATCTGTTGCGTATTTGGTCCTGGCGACGCCAAAATTTATTAGATCTACCCAAGATGTTCCTTCGGGCATTATGTCTTTCTTGGTCCATTCCAATTGTCGAGATACGACCGGTTTTATCTAGGTAAAAAAGATAACTTTTGACAGAGATAATCCTTGAAAAAAGTGTGTAGCTATTCTTGAGAGGCTTGTTTGTAAAATTATTTAGAGATTTAAGACATATTTTTAACTAAGCGATCCACAACAAACTCAAACTAGTGTAATGTTCATTAGTTGAGTATGGAGGCCACGGAATATATGATACTATATCAAACTATTATCATTACATGAGTATGAATACTAATAGTGAGTGAATGAGTAACAAGTTATGATAGGTAATACAAGAATGATGAGATGTGAGAACGTAAATCTTTGCAGGAATCGAACCAGGTGTACTTGGACAGCCAGTCTGATATCTTAACTGGTCGACCAAGTCCTTAATTTGCCAGCTTTGTTCGAATTGCAAAGTTTGACAACTCATTAGCTAAGCATATTCCGAAATTTAATTGCACGCATGCTCTTTATGATTGTTTCGATTGTCGTTCAAATAAGATGAAGCTGAGTCTACGGTGAAGTACAAAGTACAGGTTAAAATCGAAACCTGAGATAATAAGCGGGTCTAACATGCAAGTCTGCAGTTCTTAATACCACAAACAAATCCTGATGCTACGATTAAAGGGTTATTAAAACTTGAAAGTCATGAAAAAATAAGAGATGGAAAGTAATAAGTTAGTTTTTATCACATACTGTTTACATAATACAGTGTGTGAGAAACAATCTTGAACTTCACAAAACTAACAATACAGCAGGAATATATTTATTCTTCCTGGCAGAATACCATAAAAAATTGACAGTCATAAGTCATTTTTGTAGGATAGACACTAGTCTTTAGAAACTGGATTTAAAGGTTCTTTTATTTCATCCAGGAGACTTTCTGCAAATTTTAGGAGCAATTATGTGAATTTGATTCTACCTACTGATCAAAAAATATAATGGACAGGTCAGTAATGGATTAATTTGTATCAGAATCTTAAAACTGTTATAAGATTTTTAGAAAACAATTTTAATATATCTTAAGCATAAACAATAGTACTCTGACAACCAAGAAAATCAGGGGTAAAATAATACGGTAGATACCTCTTCAAGCAGTGGTTGGTTAAGTTTTAAAAAGGCTTTAAGCCATTCAGCAGAACGAGCTGGGAAATCAAGGGCATTACCAGAAAAATTGTGACAATGTTGGTTATGGTGATAATCGTTGCTGGGAGCAATGTCAGTAGATGGTTCTAGCAAATTTTCACAACTGGTGAATGGAAATATAAGCCATTTGTCTCTACCGGCAAAACATGTGATTTGTCCCAAAATAGTAGAGATACCAGTCCCCGGTTGACCATGAAGCACAAAACGTGGGACACACAATTTAGCTAATAAGGCGGATTTAGAAGGGTTAAGTTCGTTTGTGAAATTTTCTTTCTGCAAGTTTCTAATATTAATCACGTCCTTAATTATACTCATTGTTGGCTTTCGAATCAAAAGTGAAAGGTCACCAAAAGTTCTAAGCTCCTCTGTTGACTCAACTTTGAGAAACGGCTCTATGAAAAGGGAAAATTCATTTTCAGGATAGGTTATAAATTTGCCAATAACTGACGACATTTGAGACACTTGTTCAAAATGCGAATAAATCTGAGTCCTTGGAGCAGGAGCATATGTGTTACTGACTGAAGAGCATTTACGGATATTGCTGCATAAGTAACGAGTATACAGTGTAAGGTGTGACCCCATTCTCGGAACTATAATAGCCATCTATATAAGAGCGGGAAGAAAAAACGGAGAATCTAGCAACAAACATTAACAGCAACTAAATGTTAAGGGGAGCATACTGTTTACAGACAAATGGGGGGCGAGCAGAAATGTGTTAACGACATCCGGGTGATTGAAAAACCTATATGCCATGAGCATTTTGTTTGTTCTCGGCTTGTGAACTCGCCTACCATATCGTTATGAGTAGATAATTTGAGCCTGTGAGAAGGCCATACTCAATAGTTGTAAACATAGGATGACAAGACTGCGTGCGCAAACGTTGTTACACAACCTACATTTTCGTCCTATAATCTCGTTTTGCCAACTGCACTCCTTAAACCCAAATTGAAATTATAGTTGGAACTAGATTCCTTTGTTCCCTTAAAACTTGTTAATTTTTTCTCATACTGAGAGAGATATGGTATTGAAATTTGACGGAGATTAATTTGATCATAATAACGTATTGCAGAGGATATATAAGGCTATTTTCACATTACAGTTTTAACAAAATATAGGTCTAAACTGTAACCTCACATTTCTAGCTTTTGGTAACTTTTGTATACAATATATTAAGCGCAGGTGCAGTTGATAAAAACAGCAAACCATTTGTATTAGGTTAAAATTAACCCAACCACACAAAGTAAAGCTAAGATGACGCCCATGAAGAGAAAGATATTAAAATCTGGGAGAAAGTGATCATTCTCAAAACTACACCATGAGAAATATAGTCCATAGAATAGACTGTGTAAAGGGCGTAGTCTGAAGAATTCGTGTTTTTAAAAACTGACAGTTTAAGATAAAGGTAACTCTTCCTTTTTTCAGAGCAACAGGTAATAAATCATACACAAATTAACACATTTGTTCATCAGAATTGTGACTAACGTTATCTCCAATGTTGAAAACTGCACCTCACGTCCAGCTACCGTAGGTCATTCAATATTCAATATCTTCCACACGAGCAGTTGTGAACCCATTGTTTCTTCTTTGGTCTGACTTCGCTCTTCATCATGTTCAGAGCCAGGTGGGATAAGCTTTCGAACATCCATCAGTTCGATAGATGCTACTGAATTAATTACTTTACTAGGATCCTACATGCGCGTTCCCGAAACGCAGCATACATTGACGGCGCGAGATTCTAAAGTCCTGGCTAAGAAACCCTGTTGCCCTATTTGACGAAATGTGCGTGCATTAAATGCTCCAACATGTATTCTAGAGAGGGGTTTCAGGAGACCAGTAATAACTTTTCGCGAACTCACATCTTTTGCATTAGCGGTGCAATGAGATAAAGGAATGTGAGTAGAGTTAGCTGCGGAGAGAAGAGAGGTAAGTGTGGGTGTAGGAAGGATTTGATTTTGACCGGGTATGAGGGTATGAGGGCGGATGTCACTTCCCGGCTGCCCACACCGTGGAAGGTTGTTTCTTGAGGAACCTGAAAAGGAGGGTGGATTAGAGTTGGTCGTAGAGACCTGTTTGAGTGTTCGCAGAGTCCAAGGGACAGCTGCTTGAGGCCGGTCACGCACGGCCTTTTTATAAAAGCTTTTTTTAAGTGTTAGCTTCGGTCTTGAAAACCCTTAATGGGCAGCCCTTACCGCCGGAGACGGAAATCCGTGGGGTGAGTTGACGTGTGACATTTTTAGGGTCGACCTTTTCTAACCCATCCTTCCTTGTGAGAGGTCAGCATCGCAGCAGATGCTGGTTGTCCGAGGTAAACACCTTACTGATGTCACACACCCCTGCAGTCAGCAGTACGACTTCGCCCTCTGACCTTGAGTAGCTGCTTTCAGTCTGATCGCTCTCGAATCGACCTGCCTGGCATGGTAGAACCTTCAGGAACATATGTTGCAGCCAATGTAGCTCGGTTGGGTCATGACGATGAGCAAGGCCGACCACCACGTCAAGATGATAATCCGTTTTTATGTGTTTATCAACACTTCTTAAATCTGTCCTCTCAAAGGACTACGGTCACGTCGACTGGGAGAGCACCTCAAGTCTCAACGACTGTTGACGAGAAAAATTGCGCTCGAACCTAAGAATTCACACTTTGATGCGCAATTTTTTGAGGATTACTTTGAAGATAGTGGTTTTGATGCATCGGAAAGATGCTCACGGTGGGATGGTTTGTCATTCCTAATATGTGGTGTTAGGTATTTTCAGTGGTTTCTGAATTCGGAAGAACAGTTTTAGAAGTTTAAATACGCTCAATTCCCAGTTACTCCAACAAGAAAGCAACTTATGTGGGTAAGAAATGGTTCTATTATTATTTAAAAGGGTATATATCGTTACCTAAATAATATTACACTGTTCTTTAGCAATTTTAACACAATGTGTTTCCAATTCAGGAGGAATGCTTCGAAACTCCAATAAAGTTAGAATAAATAGAAACTATAGCAAAATAAAAATATTAACATCACGAAATGTGATTAAGCAATACCAAAATGAAGCACAGAAAGAGTCAGTAAGAACATATTACAAATTTATATATATATAAATACATATATAAAGCCTTTGAAATGGATTCGACGTGTTGTACCTCTGATTTTCCTGTAACCCAACTGCACTCGATTCAATGCATCCAATATCTTTTTCACAAGCTAGTATAAACCAAATGTTCCAAGCTCCTTTTACTCACTGTAATGACTGAAATAACGGTAAACATAGATGAAAATAAGGTTACACGATATGTTTCAGAGAATTGACATATCTTAATGAAAGCTTCTGCCAAACTAACTACTGATTGACAAAAATGAGTACCTTAGCATACCCTGACTCCAAAGCTTGTATCCGCTACAACTATACACGTGAGATATTCCTACAAATCGCATCTCTATTACTGACTGAACAGGTATAATATGAATAACAGACTGTAGAATCCAATTCGAAATCCTTGCTTTGCGAAAATCCCTCCATGTATATATATTTGTATTATCCTCTTACTGACTCTTTCTGTTCTACATTTTGTGATGCTAATATTTGTATTTTGCTATAGTTTCTATTTTTACCTCTATTGGAGTTTCTATGTTTTCTACTGAACTGTATTATGTTGTTTAAACTGATACTTAATTATGGCGTCAGCCATATCGAATTTGACACCCTGGGCAGTGAACTTTGAATCTGCACTGGAAGGGTGCAATTTTGGACTTATACGGGAGCATTGTTCCAGAGTTGAAAACACATTGTGTTAAAATTGCTAACGAACAGTGTAATATTATTTAGGTGACGATATATACCCTTTCAATTATTAACAGAACCGTTTCTTACCCACATAAATTGCTTTCTTGTTGGATTAACTGGGAATGGAGAGTATCTAAACCTTTAAAACTGTTCTTCCGAATTCAGGAACCACTCAAAAACCGCAATACATAACGCACTGAGAATTAGGGCGTCTCAGGAACCCCGGGATCTCTGAAAAGCATTCACAGCATTCAAGAAGATTGGTATTTGAAGGTCGAATTTCAACAAAATTAACAATGTGTCAACCACTGAATTATAGACATTCTACCTTTATTTGGCTAAATCAAACATTAAAGTGCATTCCAGAAATTAAGTGGTGAAGAAATAAAATAAATATGTTTTAAATCCTTGATATCAATGCGCCCCTTGGTGGTTTTATCCCTTTAACCAAAATTTTTTCTCTAGTCTGTAAGAATCGCTTGACTTTTCCGTTCGTTTCTTGTTGTTTCGTTACGGTTCTAGGTATTTGGTAAAGTCCATTGGATAATAGTCTAGTCACCCAACCCCACTATTTCTAATAAGTTGGCATTTCTTCATGAATTTGTATGTTCCGTGATTTGAGTGAATGAGTTGTTCTCATGGCAGTAGGGTTTCTGGATACCAGCAACTACCACATTAAAATGCCAGAGACCAGTTGGTCGCTATGTGGAGAACTATAAAGATAAAATCCCAATACCAATGAGTAGAAAATCAAAATATAAGTTAATAATTTGGTAGTTTAGATCATATGAAAGGATATATGTGTAAACAAAGAAGATGAGTCTGAAATAACATACGAGATAGAATGAGTTAGTGGTCTGAAAGAACGACAATGATAACAACAAGCCGGTTTCCAAACATGCATCAGGCACTGCTGGTCCAAGAGGCAGTTGATAATCTGTGTGTGTAGGTGTTTATCAAACCTCTTATTGAAGCTATTGACTGAGAGGGCTGTGGTCACTTCGGTAGGGAGGGCATTCTAGGAGGGGACAACTCTTAATGAGAAAAGCGGGCACGTTCCTGGTTGTTCGCTATTTGATGCTCCATTTCTCGAAGGTTACATTGAAGGGCGTGGTGGTGATGTCATGGCAAGATGCTCGTGTAGGTATGATTCGGTACATTTAGTATGCGGTATGCTACAATTCGATCACCTCTAGTCCTCTTATAATTCGGGGGGAATAGTCACAATTGTTGGAGCCTGTCTTCGTAGGACTCATTCTTTAACTATATCATTTATTTAGCTGCTCGTTTCTGTACTCTCTCCAAGCGATTTATGTCTCTTTCAAGAGGAGTGGTTCGATGACATTTTAAACCTGATAGTGTTATCGTGCGTATGTTTAAAATAGTTAGGAACAGCTATGTGGTGAATTAACCAAGTAGTCTTCGCATGAAATTTTGGGTTGCCTTAGCCTTGGTTGCATCCACTATATGGTTTGAAGTAGTTACCATGCTCTCCGCGGTTATGAGGTAGATGTAGCGCTCTGAAGAGAAATTGGGGATCGGATTTTTATTGAGGATGCTAACAACGTGATAAATCGACTGACTGAGTTTTAACCCTTTGTACACTTTCTACTTCTCTGCTGCTGTAAGGTTATTTCGAAGTCTGAATGAACCATCTTTTCTAGTTTGCTTGAGTAGCAGTTAATTTCTACGAGCCAAACTTGACCGATTCATATGTAGAATTACTCTCAGCATTTAAGGCACTGTAACTAGAGCTCCACAGGCATGTCACGTCTGACATGTTTACTAATGATGCCTCGGGTCTCTACGCTGTCCTTGTGTTTAGAATTGGAATACGGCTAAGTGTCGGTATCGTCACTGTGAATGTGAACCGTTAATGACCAACAAATTAGGTCAGCACTCTCTTCGCTTCAAACTTACTCTGTTGATGATCAAGCTCCATCTGTTAAACGGATTCTGGCGATCAACTAAACCCATAGTCGAGGCTTGTTCTATCTAGACGTGAGTACATTTGGCTGCAACAGAAATGAAAGTTCTCTGCAGTAAACTCACTCGCTGTTTTGACATAGTGAGAACGTTAACGCAAATAAACAAACAATTTCATCTCATGCCTTTTACTTAATTATTTGACAGACTGACAGAAAAATATTGATGAGAATTTTATGGGATAAATAGTCTGCATAAAATATAGCTTAAGATAAACAGCGAATAATGTGAACAGGTAATATATGTAATTGCTGATAGATGCAATACAGTATGATCAACAAAGTCTAATTTAAACACACGAGGGTCAGAAAAGGACGGAATTTTTCGCGTCATTACACCGCATCAATTGACAACATGGTGGCATTTTGATTATAAAGACTCAAGTTAATATGAGTCGTTTGTTTGCCAACGTACCACTTATCGAGACCATTGAGTTTATATTCAAGAAAATACCAGAAAAACAAGTAAATATCGGCTTGCCTGAGGAGAGCTTGAAGGAACCGCCCTCAAGATATACTCTGAACGTTTATTTTGTCTTTAACAATACTTATTACAGACGAATAGACAGGATAGCCATGTGCACACCTTTAGGTCCAATTCTAGCTGACGTCGTCTTGGCAAAGATAGAAAATGGACCACTCAACGAGGCTATTAAGATGCTCGGTATATCGATGACACATTAACTACTGTATCTCAGAACACCAATGAGCAGAAAGTCATGGAACAGTTTAGTAGTGAACACCAGGCAATCACACTCAATTATGAACACTAGTGTGAGAAAAAGCTGAATTTCCTTGACGTCATGCTAAGCCGGTTGCTGTGATGGATCATTAAGTAGAAGCGTGTACTACAGTCACGTTCACTGAGTAACACCTGTCGAAAACACTTTTATATTTTATATCTTCTTCTTTCTTCGAATCAACGGCGTAATTTGACCGAACATATACGAAATCAATTATGATCGACACTTCGTTTGCTTGAGGCCAACAGAAATCACAACTGATTTGGGCGCTTTGTTCAGGGGCTCCGTTACTGAACCTAATCTAACCGTGTGTAATGTGCTCTTTCATATGTGTATCTGTCTTCTTACCCTTCTTGTAACATTTTAACTATTTAAATTCATTGAATAGTTTGCAGTAAGCCACCACATATTTGGCAGCGGAAAGCTGTTATTGTAAGCTTGTAGGGACACTGAAGATCCTCAAGGTCATACCAAAATCTTACATTGATTACCTAGTATAAATGTCTAGGGCCCCTTTAGCGTTGTTTTCAGTCATCTACGAATTAGGTTAATCTATCTCTTGTTCCTAATCGTGCAATAACATCAGATTTCGTTGTCTGTTACCGGTTCTTTAGGATCAAAAACTATTCAGCGACTGACAGCTGTTACCAGTTGATCAAAAAAAGACAGTGAAAACTAGAATTTATTCAGAATTCAAGGAACTTGGGTCCTAATGCAAATTTTAATGGTTAATATTTTACCCATCTCGTATATATGATTCTGCAAAGACATGCTCTTTTGATATATTCACTCTCTATTATTTCCCAATACAAGGTCAGAATGACTGACGTCGTCAGATTTGTTGATCCTGATGTTACTACTTATGGATGCTATGCACAACTTTGTTAGTGCTAGGAAGTGTACCTATTGTTCAGCCTATACAGATTTTTCGCAATTATAATCTCTCTAGTTGTATGAAAGTAGACTAGATAGCGATTTTGGTTGAAAGCACAGACGCGCACATTTTCTTTTGTTATAAGGATGTTTCCATACACTGTGGGACTATGAAATAGTAGACACCGTCGTTTGTATCAATTGTACGTCTTAGTACCAACCTTCATTAGTATAACAGTGCTAGTGGTAGATACGTCAACATATCAACTACAGATAATTTTCCAGATATCTTATAGTTACTTCAGTCTTGATGTCAGTTTACAGGAAGTAGTTGTTCAGTCAAATATAACTTCCTAATATACCTACCGCAGGAGCAATGATTTAGTCTTGTAATTAATTATTTACATCATGATTTCTTAAAAGTCAGTGTGTATGAAGTTGGGCGTAATTCTAATTTACAGTCAAAGGATGGGGGAGAACTGAAATGAAATTTTCAGAAAGTCAGTCCACTTAAACAATCGTCCTAATCCTCTCTTTTTGTTATAATATGGCTTATTTCTTTCTTTCAGATAGTTTTTGAATTAAAACATGAACAAGGATCATAAACCACGCGTTCGAAAACGAGCAACACATATTGTTACTGATTCAAGACCACGACACAATTACGGGAGTGAAAAACCACTGTTTGTCTATTCATGTATTTGCGGACAAATGTCACTTATAATTGACTGTCTAGTAGAAAAACTACCAAGGCGTCCTAGAGATGATGCTAGAGTTATTGACGGATCCAAACGTGCTCATAAGACAACGGCTACGGCTGTTAATCCACTTGCTCCAATTTATATACGTTGGCCAAATGGGATAGAAAAACAGTTTCGCAGGTACTGCAAAGGCTGTGGATTACCAATTTTTTACCGTCACAGTGCAGAAAGTTCCACGGTAAATTTCAGTAAATATGCAATGTTTTCACAGTTTAAATCACGAATTAATCTTATCTAAGCAGACCTCTGTTGAAAGTCTGCAAACATCAAACAGCCGTTTCGTCCCAGAGCGGAACTACTCAGTGGCACCTATCCTCATACACACATACGACAACAAAACCCAAAACTGATCTATTTTGTGAACGCCAAGCCTCCAGACTAAACTGGCATCCAGCGGTGTTAATAATTGACTGCAATTAACACGCGGAATCTCTCAACCCTTACCCATTTGCTGGAGTAGATAACTGTCCCACTCTACATGGACCGGACTCCACTGGTTACAGTTTCTCACAAGAACTGTGGGAGTTCCCGCGTGCATGATCGTACGTGCGCATTGCCGGGGAGTCTCATACTAGGACGAAACGGTCGTCCAGTGCTACGTTTTCAATGTCAGTTTAGCTAAGATCGGCCCTTAAATGAAGCTTAAAATTCTAGTCTACACAAATCCCCTATAATAAACGTAAATTGTATCAACTATGATAAAAACTCGTGTACCTGTATGAATCACTCATAGACTCCAGCTTTTTATTGGGATAATAACTAAATACTAAGGAAAACTCAGATCTCATGTGAAGTTTCAAAATCAATCGATTCTCTCTATAGATTAAAACTGGAGTTTCTTGACCTGTTTAAGTACCCTGTACTGTACAATTCAAATATATTTGTTATAACATAAAAATAATCGAAGTATTCACTGATTGTACGGAAATGGGAAACTCTACTAACAGGGGAACCTGACAAATCAGAAGATACACTCGTTTTTTATATTTCACTTTACCTTTAATTATATCTACATAACATATAGATAGTTGAAATAAAAACATGTTAGCAGGCGACAATTACTTTATAGTATATAAATATGGCAAGCAGCTGATTTCGATCAATTCTTGGCTTCTGAAATTAACTTTTCTTTTCTTGATGCATATAATCATGTGTGGTGATGAAGTGCTATTTGACGTCCTAAGATTAGGGCAGGTGAAGTGGTCTTAAACACCATAACTCGTTGGTTGTTTCCTAAACTTATAGACTACTAAACCTCACTTGTATCTGTCATGCTTTTATTTTAATTAAGAAAGCCCGCTCACCCACCGTCTCATTATTACTACAACCAAGCATCTGGTATATGTTTTTTTCATTCAATTAGACCGAATTCATCATTAAGGATGCATTAAAACTTCAAGATGATCAGGCTGCGTTGTCTGCATCTATGTTATGTCCTAAACGACCAACTGCTGCAAAGCATATTGATGAAAGCTCGGCTAATGCTAGATTACTTGAAGCATTGGCTGCTGAAGCAGCTGCTCTACAGCAAAGTGAAGCCTCAAATACTGCTCCATTGCGTCGTAGTGTTCAACAACAAGAAACTACTCAAGGCATTGATACCGCTGTCACTGTTTCCACTATTGAAGACGAAGAAGAGGAAGCTGAGGCGAAGGAAATAGCTGATTCGTATGCCGCCAATGCTCGTGTCATTGAACAAGAAATGATTCGACGTGGTATTATAAAACGCCGTTTGGTTGATGAGGTAAATAGGTCTACACAGTCACATGCTATTTTTAAATAATCTACTGTATTTTTAAATGTATTTTGATGGACATTTTGAGTATTTTAGGCTAAGACATTTCATGAATATGCAACTGTAACTCACTTGTTTAGCTGTTTGATGCTTAAGCATTTGGTCACTAGCTCAATAGCCATTTACTTATGCGTAAATGAGTTTTATCACTACCCATAATGTAATAAATGTCACCCACAATTGGGTTCGAAAACTCTTTGGTTAGTGTCTTTTTGAAGCTGTAAGAGGTGGCTCTTCTCTAAATTAAAATTATTTGTCTGGAAAGTGTCATTACAATTGTTTATTTCATTATTTCATGTCTGAATATTATATATATATATATATATATATATATATATATATATATATATATATATATATATATTAATGACAACATATCTACCTTTCAAATAATTAAGTAGTTTAATTATTTTGAAACCTTTCATTTAGTCTGTCAATCTGTGCAATAGATTCTTATATTAGATTATTGTAGACAATAATATTACTTAATTTCAATATAATTAATAATAATATTGATAACATTTGTTACAATTTAATCAACAGGCTAATGAAGAAGCTCAACAAAGACGAATTCGAGGGACATTAATTGAAAAGCAATGATTCTTTTTATATAGAACAAAAAACAATTACGAATCTACGATTCTATTTTATCTTTGTAAATAAGTAAATATATTGCATTGTAGTTTTTTTTCAATTTCAGTACCAAATCATTTCAGAATGTCTATGATTTTTTTCACTTGATTGGTACTAATTTGTTTACAATATATTTTTCCAGTAAAGTAATATGTTCTTACTAAAAATATGTCTATTGGTGCAATCTGATGTGTACGCCGTATGACTGAGGTTTTATATCACTCAGTCAGTTACAACATAGAACTTCGTATGTACGTACATCAGTTCAAGTCGCCGTACCATATTAGCACAGAGATGCAATTGTCACTTCAAATCCCATAGTAGTAGAGGTAGTAGAAGTATTAGCAGTAATCAGAAATTCTAGAGTCCGACGATATTAGTCAAGAAGTATAATCCAATGCAATAAATTTAAAAAGAGAAAGACAAAGGTAATGAGGAATTCAGAAGATGAGAATCTGAGGGAATACAAAGAATGGATGCACCTGTACCTTTGCAAACGATTTTGAGCCATGTCGTTCGTAGTCTCCAGTTATCGATTACTATTGTCTCGCGGACCCGACCCTGGTAGTCTACACCTACCAACATGGCTCAGTCCAGTTGTTAGTGACTTCAAGGATATATTAGTTAGACTGATTCCTGTGTGATTGTCACAAGAGGACTTCTGTCCTTTCTTGTAAATTGGGAGAATCAGCGATTGAGACCAGTTGGAAGGGATTACGTTAAGTTCCCGAATTCTACCTAAGATGTCAGTTAGTCTTACTGCTAAAACTGGACCGCCATCCTTAAAATTTTCAGAGGTCAATCTATCAGGACCCGCTGCTCTCCTTCGTTTTGATTTCCTATGGTCTTTTAAACTTCATTAGGCGTCAGAGGACTTATATCGTCTTGCTATTCGGTTTGACTGGAAATCGTGGGTAACTAAAGTGTAACTGGAGGCCAATTGAATGGATCCTTAAAGTGTTCTGCTTATGGATCAAATCTCCTGGATTAAGAATGAATAGTAGTTCCATTTTATTTCGAGATAGTCTCATTTGTGGCCGAATTTCTAACACCAGTTTCTTTGATACGTCTGAAAAGCTGTCTACTGTTACCTATCGCTACTGCCTTTCCCATCTCTCTTGCTTTCGCTACCCACCACTGTTCTCAATCATTGCGTAGGCTTCTTATTAACCTGCGCTTAAGTTGACTCCACTCTTCATCATTTTCAGAGCCAAATGGAGTGAGTTTCCGGGCATCTATGGGTTCATTAGAGGCTAGTGCTTTCCACTGCGGACGGTCGCAAATATCCGTTATTTGAGTCCTGACACCATAAGATCTACTCAGGTGTCTTTCTATTTCACTTAATCTACCCACTCGAGCATTGAGTTAACCTGCCACTATCACTACATCAGAGCATTTAGCCTTTTGAAGGTTGGAAAGTTTTCTCTAAAATTCATCTTTTACCTCATCTGAGCTACAGTCAGTGGGAGCGTAGGCAGAGACAACGAAGAGGCGACGGCGAGTTTCCCAACCTCTCCAAGTTCTTACTGTCATGTGTGGTTGAACAGCACACAAACAACTATCTACTGGAATCTAGTCTAAGAGGCCCAGTTCTGTTTTTATAACTCAGTGCAATACATACACCAGCGAGGTTACGAGAAACAGTAGTAGGGTTTCCAGATAAGTGAAGTGTGAATCGCGGCGATCCTTTATTTTGATTCGGTGAGGTCAAATGAGTGATTGTGCTCGGATCCTGTATTGGCATTTCGCAGATGCAGCATATATCAATGGCGCAAGATCCTAAAGTCCTAGCTAAGGAAGCCTGTTTCTTTATTTGGCTCAAGATTCGAACATTAAAAGCTCCATGTAGTTTATAGTTTAAGGAGACAGGAAATAACGTTTCTTGTGCTCAATCGCTAACATTAACGGCGCGAGGTAGATTAGTCGTGGATTTAACAGAGTTTTTAATAGGTGAGAAAAGAATATGGTCGTGAACATATTGACCATGTGTGCTGTTAGAGATATGATGGCGGATGTTGCTTCCCCGTTGCCTACATCGTGGAAAGGTTTTTCTTGAGGAACCTGTAAAAAGAGTTGAATTAACATTGGTCTTCGCGTCTTGAGTGCGTGGTCACCAAGCCAAAGGAGCAACTGCTTGAGGCCGACCACGTACGGCCTTCTATGGGAATTTATCGAAGTGTTAGCTCCGCTATTCAAAATGCCTTAGCACATGAGACAGAGATCCGTCGGTTCAGTTGAGATGTGACATTTTCAGGGTCGACTTTCTCTAACCCTTTCCCTCCTTGTGAGAAGGCAGCATCGCTGCAGACGCTGGTTGTTTGAGGGAAATACCGTACTACTGTTACACCCCTCTACAGTCAGCAGTACGACTTCGCCCTCAAACATTGAGTGTCTGCTTTTAGCCTTACTGTTCTCTAGTAGACCTGCCTCGCATGGTAGGACCTGAAGTAACAGGTGTTTATAAAATATGTTAAACTGATTATATTTTGTTGCATTCTATTAGGTAACGTCCATGCTAATAAGTTCAGTTAATTCAAAATTTGTTAAAACTAAAACAAATGGGAACTAAGAGACGAAATATTTACCAAGAAATCCTAAACTATTAGGAAATCAAAGCTGTATTTTCATTCAAATGATTATTAACGGAGTGAGATTCGTTGTTATACTGGTCATTGATCATTTCACTAGTTATACAATTGCATGCTCCATTAACAACATCTGCGTATAAACCTACGTTTTTCAGTCCGTTAAGTTTCTAATTTGTACATCGCTTCTACAAAATAGTGAATCCGTAATAGAATTTGTTGAGGTGGTCGATCCTCAAAATGAGAGAATTCTCTTGCAGCTGAAACCCGACCGAAGCTGCTACCTTGACGTGGTGGCCGGGCTTGCCTATCGTGATGACCCAACCGAGCTATACTGGCTGGAACACATGTTCCTGCAGGTCCTACCATGCCAGGCAGGTCGATTGGAGAACGATGAGACTAAAAGCAGCTACCCAAGGTCTGAGGGCGAAGTCGTACTGCTGACTGCTGAGGGGTGTGACAGCAGTAAGGTGTTTCCCTCGGACAACCAGCATCTGCAGCGATGCTGCCTTCTCACAAGGAAGGAAGGGTTAGAAAAGGTCGGCCCTAAAAATGTCACACCTCACCCTACCTCACGGATTTCCGTCTCCTTGGGTAAGGGTGCCCACTAAGGGCCTTTAAGAACGGAGCTAATCATGTAAATACCTCTCATAAAAAGGCCGTGCGTGACCGGCCTGAAGCAGTTGTCCCTTGGACTCTGCGGTCACGCACCAACACTAATCCATCTTCCTTTTCAGGTTCGTCAAGAAACAACCTTCTACGGTGTGGGCAGCCGGGAAGTGATAACCGCCCTCATACCCGTAACAGCACACGAGACCAAATTGTTCAAAATCAAATCCTTCCCACATTCCCTAATACCTCTCTTACCTCCACAACTAAGTCTTCTCACATTCATTTATTACAGTGCACAGCTAATGCAAACGATGCGAGTTTGCGAAACGTCGTTCCTGGTCTCCTTAAACCCCGTTCCAAACTACATGTTGGAGCATTCAATGTACGGACATTGTGTCAAATAGGGCAACAGGCATCGTTAGCTAGGACCTTAGAATCTCGTTCCATCGATGTGTGCTGCGTCTCGGAAACGCGCATACAGGATCCGAGTAGCATCACTCATTTGACCTCACCATGTCAAGATAAAGAAGCAGCTCGATTTACCCTTCGTGTATCCGGTAGCCCTGATGCTGCTTCTAGGGGCCTCGCCGGTATAGGTATAGCATTGAGTCGTAGGGCAGAACAATCTCTCCTTGACTGGATCCCTGTAGATAGTCGCTTGTGCGCCGTCCGACTGAACGGGACAGTAAGGACTCGGAAAGATAGGGACACTCGCCGTTGCCTCTTCGTCATATCAGCCTACGCCCCCACTGACTGCAGCCCAGATGATGTAAAAGATGAGTTTTACAGAAAGCTTTCGGACCTCCTACAAAAAGTTAAGCGCTCTGATATAGTTATAATGGCTGGTGACTTCAATGCTCAAGTAGGTAGACTAAGTGAAAATGAAAGACACCTAGGTGGATGTTACGGTCTCGCGGCTCAAAGAACAGACAATGGCGACCGTCTGTTGCAACTGTGCTCAGATAACCAACTATTTCTAGCAAACACTAATTTTAAGCATAAGGAAAAACACCTTTTGACCTGGCGACCCCCGAAGTCGTCTCAACGTTGGACACAACTAGATCATATCGCCATCAGCTACCGATGGAGGGGTTCGATAGAGGACTGTCGCTCGTTCTGGGGCACATGTTTAGATTCAGATCATGCCCTAGTGCGAGCACGTATTTGTTTAAGGCTTGCTGGACGTAGGAAAGACACCGTAAGGAAGCCTCTTAGGGCTTTACTTGATGATAATCAAGCTAAGAAAATATTTCAGGAGGAACTAGAAAAACAGTTAGGCGGCCATGCAAATGATTCCCATCCTGAAGCAGGTTGGAATCATATCAAGAAGGCTGTGGAAACAGCAATGGTATCTGCTAGCAAGGTAAACCACAATGCTAGGATGAAGCAGTGGATTTCAGTCGCATCCACCGAACTGATGGATGCTCGAAAACGCATCCCACCTGACTCCGAACATGATGAAGAGCGTAGTCAGCTTAGGTGCAGACTTATAAAAAGCCTACGTAACGACCGTGAACAGTGGTGGGTGGCGAAAGCAAAAGCGATGGAAAAGGCAGCGGCGATAGGCAACACTAGACAACTTTTCCGCCTTATCAAAGAAACCGGTATTAAGAACCCGAATGTGAGTGAGACTATCTCGGAAATGGATGGTCTTATTATCCATTCTCAATCTAGGAGGCTGGACCGATGGGCAGAACACTTTAGGGATCAGTTCAACTGGCCTTCAGCCACTCTTCGGTTGCCCACGATCTCCAGTCATCCTGAATGGCAAATCGATTTAAGTCCTCCCAGTTTACATGAAGTTGAGAAAGCTATAGGAAATCTAAGGAGAGGTAGAGCGGCAGGTCCCGATAGGCTTACCCCTGAGATGTTTAAGGATGGTGGTCCAGTTTTAACGGTTAGACTGACCGAGATCCTAGGTAGAATCTGGGAAATGGACGTAATCCCAT